TGTGTGTGTATGTGTATATATGTATTAAATATGGCCTGAAAATGACCATATGTAGTCTGAAATGTCTTGCCCTATGGTGTGAGGACGATCATGAGGAAGTTTGTGGATCAGCCTAAAACTAGCCTAAATCTTATTAATGTTCTTTAAGTGGGAAATACACCCCTCATAACACAGTATGTAATTTTGGATTGCCCACAAAGTTCCACTGCTCATGAAGGCAGATACAGGCCCAACTCAGTTTGTCAGTGGACATTTAAATGATTCAGAGAAGGCTTGGTAGAAAGTGCTGTGGTCAGAAGAAACCAGAATCAACCTTTTTGACATCATGTGAAATGCTGAGTCTGACCCAAAAAAACACAGACCCCCTCAGTCATTTATGGAGGTGGAAACATTATGCATTGGGACTGTTTTTCTGGTATGGAACAACTTCTCTGCATTGAGGGGCCAATTGACAGGGCCACGTAGCATAAAATCACAGATGAGAACCTTCCCTGAGCCAGAACACTGATGAACATGGGTTGTGGATGGGTCTTCCAACATGACACTGACTCAAAACAGGCCACCAAAGTAACAAAGGAGTAGCTAAACGGGAAGTACATTAAGGTCTTGCCTAGCAACTCTCCAGACCTCAATTCTATAGAAAATCTGTGGAGGGAACTGAAATCTTGGAGTTGCCAAGTGTCAGCTATAGGATTGTCTGTAGAAAGTGTCTGTAAAGAGGAATGAGCCAAAATCCCTCTTGAGCAACGCAGTATCACGGACAAATGTGTAATAGACATGCCAGTCCACCGTATCCAGTTCACAAATACATATTTCACTTAATGACATTCAAATCACTTTAGAATTTGAAAGTTTTTCTTCAGTATTTTTAGTTTTTTGTCTTTCTCTATCAAAATGAAACAAACCATAAAAGTTGTTCATTTCTTTGTGAGTGAACCAACTTAAAAAATTATCAGAGGACCAAATAATTATTTCCCCCACTGTAAATATGCTACTTATGAATTCTCCCCATTGAATTCTTCCTGATTAGCAGACACATGACAAGAAGGTTGGCAACAAAATTTAAACAAATGATAGAAAATTTTAAATAAAAAGGGATATGTAAAAAGCACGTTTTCCACATTATGTTCCAATATCAAACAATAGAGGGAACCAATGCCACTTAAATAATGTATTGCTGTTGTATCCATCACGTTAACCTTGTTGATTTTTATTTTATAACATAAAGCAAAACCTGTCACTTTTGTGTAATATGTAAAAACAAAAAGTCATAATTTGTCATTGGATCAAACTGTCTTTGGGAAAATTACAATCTTTCTAATGAATCGTTTGATTTTGATTTCTACATCTTAAAGGGATTAAAAAAAAAAAGGAAGATGTTCCAGTATGAATACTTCAAACTTGAAATTAAAAATTTGTTTTTTTAGTGTAGCTCGAATTAGAAAATAAATGAGGTGTTATGCGGGTAAGAAGAAAGCGGTGAACTGAAGTTTGTATAATGATTTAAGACAGACCACTGGACCATCACTTTTTGTGTGTGCATGTGAAAGTATGGGTGGTGAATTTTCAAATTATTGCTTCTTTGTCCAATTAAAACTGAGTGTAGTATGACTGCAGATGTGCTGCAAGCTGTAGATCATTGATTTTTATCAGAGTTGTTATTCGCGCCGTGTTCTGCTGAACAAGCCCCTCCTCCTCCTTCCAGTCTGTCTCCCAGAGCTCATGACCGCTGCTCTAGATTTACTCCTAATTTGCTTAATTGAAGTTAGCCTGCATAACAAGCTCAAGGTGACACTGTGATATGTGCAAGCTTGGGAATGTGTGTGTGTGTGTGTGTGTGAGAGTGTGTGGTGTGTATGTGTGCGCACACCAGGATTTTAGTCTACCCATTGAGCGTTTACTGCACAGCATTTTAGGCACCCAGACTAATCCTACCCCTCTGCAACGCTTCATTACACCGAAACAAAAACACTCAAGCACCACCAGTCACCAGTCAAGCACACTTGCTCTAATAACTTCACATAAAAGTGCACGCAGAGGGATTTCTGTAATATATACTTTTTAGTTATTGTGTGTGTGCGCTGTGTGTATATGGATGTCATTAGTTGCACAGACATGCTGTTACTCTTTAATTATAAGCACCTGCTGTGAGTGAAAAAAAAGGATACTGCAGTACAACAAAGAGAATTTTTTTTTTTTACTGAAACAAGAATCATCAGTGACTTTTTCCCTTTTGCATTTGTTTGTGCATCTTGGGGTAAAATAGCTCCAGGCTAAGACAAATGTTGACTTACGGTATCTTAATGTCCCGAATCTGCTTATAGATCAATGCTTGTGTTTCTTCCTTAGTTTCCTTGTTTGTACGAGTAATGTCTGAGGAGCTTTTTGTTTTATTTCCAAAGTTTTTACTGACTGAATCTGGCAGTTATTAAGAAAATTCAGTTACTTTGCTGGGGCTTACCTTCCTATTAGGGACAAAAAGCATGTGGCCTCATTGTAAATCATTTAGGCAGGCAGCGTTTTGAATAAGCAGTGGGAAAGGTTTCCAGGAATTGAAAGCTAATCAATATAGCATACTATGAAAAATCCTCAGCTACTATGAACTAAGTGAAAACATGGCTGTATGTGCATATATGTGTGTGTGTGTGGGGGGGGGGGCTTTTTAGTTGTATAATGAAAGAACGTTAATAGTTAAATCAAATAATAGGAAAAAAAATAGCATCAAGAGAATATGAAGTTGTCATTGTGTCTGATTTCCAGTGAAGCCTGATACAGTTTGTCACACCATCCAACCATCATCTGAATGAAGCTGATCGATCAAAGCTATTATGTCCTGGTGGCTTGAAAGCCAACTAAATGACCCTCAGTTATCCAGTACCGTTTGTGCTGAATGTGAATGGCTCAGTTGGGGTTGTAGTATGTAGTTTTTTTGGTGATGCTTACATGCATGCGGGCTTACGCATGCATAAATAAAGTGACTCTAATGACAGATATATATTTTTTTTCTATAAAGCCAGTGCATATTGTCATGTACAGTAAATGTATAGTGCAAGCAATAAAAGCAGTTTTTATTTGTTATATACAACTTTGCTTTTATTTTTCTTTTTTTAAAAATGATTTTTAGGTCTGATCACAACAACAGCGAGGAAACTGGACAGAGAACAACAAGCTGAACACTTTTTAGAGGTACAGTAAAGCCTGAACCATATTCATAGGTTCATATTGATATTATTTATCCAGGCCTGCCACTTGCCATAACCTACTATTAACAAAGACAGGGTGGAGGACAACCCTGGCAGACCCTCAAGGCTCCATAAACTGTGATGAATGGCTGTAGTTTTGGGCCCCAGGTTTGGGATTTTCTAAATGTAATCATTCATCATTGGTTATCTTCTCCACTCAGGACGGGAACAGGGAGGAGAGGAGTTGGTCTGCCCAGCGTTTGATAAGTGCAGACACTAGGCATACAGATAGCTGGGTGATTACCATTTCTGTTGCTCCTGCAGCTCTGCATACAGATGAACCTGATAATCACAGATTCTTGACTTTGTGGACATGAACAAACTTCTATTCCCCCACACTTCGCTTACAACTTATTAAATGCCATTGAATTCACGAGCACTTTGCCTTTCTACAAAATGGAATGAAATAACCTGCAGTTGACCCACACGATTGCACCTGTGCGCTTTTGTTATGTGTTCTATTGTATGCCCGAATTGCCAATTGAGTTGTCCAGACTCATGCTGCCTTGTTTAGCTCCCATACTTAATAAATGTATGGCAGCACACTACAAAGTGAAAGAAACAGTAGAGAGAAAACTGCCAAGAACATATATTATTGTGGCCAACTTGGAAAGAAACAAGTAAAGAAGTCTTTGTTAAAACATTGTTCTGAATATCACCCATGCATGCCACCCACTGCTCAGCCTGACTGCTTATGCTGTCTGTAATTAATAGCCTAGTGAAGAGTCAGGCTGGCAGCAATGGTGTTCACCCCTATCTGATCCAATTGATCCGTGATCAGCCCTCTGCCACCGCCTCCAGGGGATCAATAATACAAAGAGATTTCCCGTGAGCTCAGCTCCACGTGGCCCTGCCCTCACACAGCATGAGCAAGATTTACGATATCAATAAAATGTATGTACTCCCTAGTAAAATCCCATGCATTTGTGTGCTTGTGTTCACGTTTTTCCCAGATTACAGTAATAGATGGCCCGGTGACCACACGCCAATCTACTGTGTGGGTCATAGTTCACGTCCAGGATGAGAACGACAACCCGCCCACCTTCCCAGAGGTCACCTACCGCATCAGCTTGCCCGAGCGAGACAGGAACAAACGCGGGGAACCCGTGTACCGTGTCTTCGCTTACGACCGTGATTATGGCGCCAATAGCAACATCACCTACAGCATCATTAGCGGTAATGAGGACGAAAAGTTCAGTATCAACCCCAGGACTGCTATGGTGTCGTCAAAGAAGATGGTAACAGCAGGCAGCTATGACATCCTCACTGTGAGTCTCTCATATCAAATATAAAAGCTATCCTCGTTTTTAAAAGGAAAGCCTGTATTTGAAATCTGTGGGGAGATATGGCAGACAAAAGCCAGCACTCAGTAACAACAGTCTAAATTGCTGAAACGGCCTTCCTTGAGATAAGACTTTAAGGCACAGTGCTGCTTTTTTTCCATGTCTTGAGTGCTGCGTTTTCAATTCCGTTTCTTACAAACTAATCACAGCCAGTGTGCGCTTGTTAGCTCCTAAGGCTCTGCTTTCAGGGAAAGTTGGCAGAAGCAAACGCAGTAACTTTGCCATGTTTCATCAGGCAAAAGCCCAGGTACTGGAGCACACACATTATTCTATTGCCAATAAATTCAGCAGCAGAGTGGAGGGGTTGTGGGGTGGAGTGGTGTCGATGGATACTAGGTGGCATGATAGATCTTAGTTGATCTAGCATGAAAGGGTACTTGTGGTCAGACTAATATTACAAACAAACACAAATTGCATTTTTTGCATCCATATTTATACACTGGCCAAACTAGTATTGTATTTGTGTTGGGTGTGAAAAAGGCAGACCAAGCTATTGAAAGCCAGGTAGTGAGGCTCATCTCATTAATCTGCATTTGTTGGGATCAAAGTTTTTGTATGGATGGGATGTTATTGCTAGGCTATAGATGTAGTTAATCCACTCTAGGGGCAGTCAGTCAGTGCAGTGGTGATCAGTATAGATTATGATTGTAGGTTTCGTGGTCTATGAAGTGGAGAGGAAAGAATTCTTATGTACTCAAAGTTTTTGGTTGGCCTGAATACATGCATACTAATAACTTAGGAAGTAGTGGTAAGTCCTCCATTTGCTTGTGTTGGTATGGTGGCCCTGAAAGGTCAAATGCATTGCAACTCAAAAAACAGAAAATAGAAAAACACTGTAAAATCAGATAAAAACACAACAGAAATGGAAAGAAAATTAAGCAAACATCATGAAACGAAATAAAAGTGTTTCTAGAGGGAAACAATAATGTGGCGGAACTACTGCAAAGAGTAAACGGCTAATACCAAACGTGTATCTACAATATTATATGAATCATGTGATTTTAATGCACATATTGATATGCAGCTTTTTCTTCTTTACATTACCGATGAACCCTCTGCTTCGTTTGAGTGTGTCTCAGTGCAATCCTTCGCATGTTTTGGTTTCTGTCACTCTCACAGCTTGTTTTGTTTCATGATTTGTTATTTGTTTGTTTGTTTTTTATATTTCTGTTGTTTTTCATTCAGCACCCTGAGGCAACTGAAATTGTCATTTTTCTATTTGCTGGTGGTTTCATAAGTTGCAGTCCATTTGATCTCTCAGGGCTACCAAACTAATTTATCTATATTGTTCCTTCTCTTAGATAAAAGCGGAGGACGGTGGCGATCCGCCATTATGGTCTACTGTTAAACTTCATGTAGAGTGGATTCGTAAACCTTCCCCCTCACCAGTGCCCCTACTGTTCACCCAGCGGTACTACAATTTCTCCATTTCGGAGACAGCTACTGTTGCCCAGCCAGTGGGAGTCGTGGCTATCAGCCAGTCCAGCACACCTGTCTGGTTCACTATCATTGGTAAGAAAATTAATATAAGATACTGAACTAACAGAGAGCCAAAGGACAATACATACTCTGAATTTTCTCATAAAAGTGTCCTGGTTACACTAATGAAAAGTTACAAAGTGTTTCTTGATAGTGAGTTAGTAATAAATTGTTCTAGTTTTCATCATTATTGTCTTGACTCTGGTAAAAAAAAACCAGATCTCCTCCCTGGTTTTTAATAGAACAACTAAGGAATATTAACTTTTATTTGATAGTTAACATTAAATAAAAATGTAGAGCTGTTAAATCAAGAAAATATGTTTAATATTTAATTGTTCTTTTTTTAATAGACAGAGAAAATGCAATGTGCAAATGTTTTTCCCAGTTCATTCTTAGTGTTAATGTTAGATGAGTAATCGTACAGAAACGGTTATTCATATTTCAGATAGTTTTAAAAAAGAAAAGCATTGGGGATATTTTATTTCAAACTTCCAGAAGTAAGCGCTTATCACCCACCCTTAGCTTAAGTATTCTAATGAAAAGTCAATTTGTATCACTTAGTGACACATATATATGTAAAAACGTCAAGAGGTCAACTTTGCAGTGCTGTATATAAATCATCCAAACCTTTGATCACAGGGATATCCAGACTTCATGAATATTTATATTCTCTTTTTTCTTTCCTCTCTCTCACCTTTAAGGCGGGCGCCCTGCCAGAGAAATGTTCTACATTCCTCAGAATGCATGTGGAAGAAACTGCTCGCTTGACACAGGTCGGGTCAAAGCTAATTTTGCCACACCTTTTCCCCCAAATGCTGCAGGTTTGAAGAAATTAAGGAAATCAAGGAAATGTAGCACGCAGTTCCATGACCTTGTTTAGCCAAAGGCAGAAGTGATCGATCTGAGTTTGGAATAGTAATCTCACACAGCTCCACTAATACTATGCGGTATCATTATCTCTGCCCACACAAGACAGGTTTGTGCTATTAGTTCAGCTACATTGTAGCTACTTTGGAAAGTTGCTGCATTTCTGATAGAAGCAGCCTGTAATGATACTGCTCCCCCTTCCATAAGGCCTCCATACAGTATTTTTATAAAACAACAGGCTATTTTAATGTTTCCACTTAAGGCTGAATTCAAATGCACCTCACTGTTTTTTAGCAGTTATAGATAAACCTTACAGTGACTAAAACAAGTACTAAGAAATGTGAGAGGAATTGCTCTTACAGTATAAATGACCCTTCAGAGATTTAGCACCCACATTTTCAGATGCTCCTTAGATTTACAAAACTTCACAGAGCTCTAGCCCAGGGCTTTACTGTCAAGCCCGGCAGCATTAGTATTTCGGATCACTCTCACTGCTTTGTGCATCATTGGTCAGCCACTGCAAACAACTGTGGAGCTGAAACTGCACTGAAGCGTTTAGCAACTAAAGAGGCAGATTGTATTCCTCTGGTGGAGACCAAAGCCAGATCTGAAAATATGGGATACTTTGCTTACATTTGTTAGGGGCCATGTACAGTTTGAGAGTTTTGCATATAATTGCTTTTTTGTACTGCATTTCTTTTGAATCACACTAGAGAAATATTTGTTCTTAATCATTTTTATGGCACTGAATGTGATTTTGTGATATAGATAGACAGAAGAGTTTGATTCTTATACGGCTTTCTTATCGGGCGTGCTCTTCCTGGATTAATAACAGAACTCTGAGGCATCATTCCACCCTGACAGGAAAAGAAACTAGTGATTACATGCTGTAATTTTCTTTTTTCTCAATGCTGTGAGACTGATCCCTCGTAGTGTTGAACTGACCCACTGCTCTGCCATGAAAAGTAGAACAAAAAATAAATAAACAATGTGAGATCCTGTATTTTGCTCCCACTCAACACGCATCAGTGGTTGTGTGAAAAATGCCCAATCAGTATTCATATGCTGAGGGGTGCTCAGGCTCCCAGATATCTCGGGAGAGAAGCTGGAATGAGAGGAAGGATGGTACCGAATACCTAACACATATCACTCCCCTCCCTCACTTTAATCAAACATTAAGCCTTTAAACTGTACACTCGCCGCCCGTGGAAAAGACCCTGCTGCAGGTTTTTGATCTCTGAGATGGGTTGTGTTTTGGAGTGATAAGACAGATGTTTGCGTGGCTGTTAACAGCTCTCAGGCTGCCAAGTGGGTTTGGTGCTACATCACATTGCATTTCAGTTCATTTTATTTCACAGTCCCTCCAGCTCCAGACGAAGGCACCTGGCCAAAACAATTACACAGTAATAACTTAGAGCACCTGAGTCTTATATGCAGTGCGAATACTAAAAGGCTGACACTAAGTGTGTGTACGGGGGATGGGTGTGTGTGTGTTCATTTATTCCAGGGAGCTTTGACATGCAGTTTGACCTCCAACTGGGGGTGGGGACTCTAGTCGTGGCCAAGCCCCTTGATGCGGAGGTGCAGTCTGTGTACAACATGACGGTACAGGTGACAGATGGGACCAACTTTGCCACAGCACAGGTACACAGAGTTTTGATTTGTTATGCACTGGCACTGCCTCTCATACGCCCCAGACCCACATCAAATTAAATTATTGTTCCCTCTTTTCACGGGGGAACTGTTTACGCTCAGCTTCGCTTCCTCTGCTTGCGCTCGGTTTTTCTGAAATTATCTCATACTGACTATGAAATGTGCTTTTGTTGCCCTGCTTTGACATTCCCTGTGCTCCTGCTGTCGGGGCTCCCCTACTGGGTATATCTTGTAAGGGAAATCCTTGATATCAGAGAATTAATGGGATTACTCTGGACAAATAAAGGTCAAGATACAAAAAGAACCTCATGCCTCTTGGAGAACGCTCGCTCTGGCTTACCAGTCTGCCATTAATAGGGCCTTGTCTTAATGCAAATAGTGTTCAGTTGTGTCTGAGCCTTGCATTTACTCTACAATTGGATTGAGGATTGTCAGTTACCGAAGCTAATTCGACTCCTATCGCTGTTTGCCACTACGCTGACTATGCAGATTTCCCCTTTCCTATCTCTTCATCATTCAGGTGTTCATTCGAATACAGGACAGCAACGACAACCCTCCAGTTTTTTCTCTACCAACTTATGATGTCAGCGTATCTGAGGACATACCAGTTGACATGGAGCTGCTGCGGGTCAGAGCATCGGACATTGATGAGCGTGCCCGTTTGAGCTTCTCCATCTATGGCAGCGTAGACCCGGCCAGTATGAGGCTGTTTAGGGTCAATCCTGGCACAGGAGTCGTCTACACCGCAGACAGGCTCGACTATGAAGCCCGGACACAGCACATCCTCACTATTATGGTGGGAAAGGAAGCATGGATGACAATCTGTTCGTGTGTGTGTGTGTGTGTGTGTGTGAGCTTGGATGTTACTGTGAGTCTCTATGCGCCACTGTGCTATCCAATAAATTATGTCCGTTTTGGCAACTGTGTCTGCCTCACTTAACTTTTGCTGATTTTGTTCTTTTATCACCTCGTACAGCTCTATCCATATTCATCTCTCGTTTGCTGCTGTAGGTCAAGGATCAGGAGTTTCCATTTAACCGTGACCTAGCTCGTATCCTGGTGGCAGTGGAAGATTCCAATGATAACATTCCCTACTTCACCAGCACCGTATACGATGCTACGGCCTACGAGACTTTTTCTGTCGGCACGTCTGTAGTGCAGGTGACGGCCCTAGACAAAGACAATGGGATTAATGGGCAGCTCACCTATACTATAGAAGCAGGTACGGTCCAATGTGCAAGAAGATTATTCTCATTTTGATTTGTATCTGTGCTTGTGTTTTAAACAGTGTAGTGACCTGTGATTTCTTTTTGTATCCTCCTTTAATAGTGTCTGTAACCTTTCTGCTACTTTCAGGTAACACCGGTGGTGTGTTTGGCATTGATAATACCACAGGCCTTATCTTCATTGCCAAGGAACTGGACCTCACTTCTTTAGGCTTTTACACCCTCAGTGTGCGCGTCACAGACAGTGGATTTCCCCCATTAATGGCCACCGCTTCAGTTCGCATTTCCTTGATCCTCTCAGACTTCTCCAAACCGAAATTCTCTCAGAAGGAGTATCAGGCTGAGGTAAAAAAATAAATAAATAAAAAATAAAGTTAGAGATAAATTACTGTCTGAAGGGAGAAGGCTGGAGACGGTGGGAGAGATAGGAGGAATAAAGACAGCTTGGAGGCGGTATGTGTGTATAGAGGTTAAATGTCTAGACAGATATACAGGAGGTAAGAACGGTATTTTTCTGGAAATGGTCTATACAACTCACTCAAGTTCTGAAAATCTACCTGTATATTTCTGCTCTTTGGCTTTATAGATTATGGAGAACAGCAAAACTGGAACTTACGTGATCACTGTTAGCGCCCTCAGCCGCTCAGCACTCATTTATGACATCACCAGAGGCAACGAGGAGCGCTGCTTCTTTATTAACCACCATACCGGTGTAATCACTACACGCAAACCGCTGGACTTTGAGGTTTGTTAATGTTTTTTCTTTTTTGGTTATATATTAGATGTATAGATGCTTAGCAGTCAAACAGTGGGTACGAGGGGCTTCCGTTCTGTCCCAAGTGCATTTTGTAGGTGTGCCTTTGACCCAAATATATAGTCAGTCATAAAGAATTATATTCAGCCAAAAAAAGCAACAGCAAACAAGCAGTCCTGGAACAGATGGTGTGGCCCTCAGAGCCGTAATCAGCATTACATCTAATCACTCACTGTGATTAGATGAGAAAAAAGTAACTGAGAGTGCATAAATATGCAGAGGTTCTCCAAGATGCTTCTAACAAGCTGTCATTTCAGTCACTTGTTTGAATATACCCTGAGGACAAGGTATTGTTGGAAAGGGAAAGGATGGTAACATGAAATATTTATGTGATTTAATTTCTATTTCCAAAGATTTATAGCATTATTTTTAAAGCCACTGTCACGTTCTTCTTTATGCAAAAAAAAAGCTGGCTTTACATCGGATCTAAATTGAATTCGTTTTTTAAACAATTTCACTGGATTTCTTTGCTTTGCCAGCAAACAACATCTTACTTTCTGGTGGTGCGTGCCCTGAGCATGGCTGGAGTGGAAGCCAGCACCTCCGTCATCATACAAGTAGTAGATGTGAACGACAGCCCACCTGTATTCCAACAAATCAGGTATTAGTCGTTGTATCAGTTGTTGAGTGTTAAAAAGCGATTTTCTCGACCGACCTAAGAAATATTTGACTGACATCAGCGTTACCTTTTTCTCCTAACAGGTATGTCGGCGTAGTCAGCGAGGCTGCTCCAATCAACAGTGTGGTCCTGGCAGAGGACGGTAACCCTTTGGTCATCCAGGCAACTGATAAGGACCGCAACCACAATGCCCTGTTAGTGTTCGAGATCATAGGTGAGACTGCTCGGATGTTCTTCAGCGTGGACTCTGGGACTGGATCGATCCGGTAGGTGATAATGCTGTGCAGAAGTTGCATCACTATTGATCTGATTAATTTCCTTATAAGTTGATATATAATGGGTTTGTTTAAATGATTTTTAGAACGATTGCCAGTCTGGACTATGAAACCTTCTCTGAGTTCGTCTTTCGGGTTCATGTTAGAGATAGTGGCCAGCCTCCACGGGATGCTGACAGCCCAGCAGAGGTACTTATAAAGGTAAGCAAATAACATATGAATCAGCTTTCATTGTCTCATAAACAACTCTTGACTCACTTTGAGTTCTGCGTTATCGTAGTCATTTCTCAACATTATTTTCACTCCCTGTGTACCACGTCTTAGGTGATCAACATCAATGACTCGCCCCCTAAGTTTTCCCAGGACACTTACGAGACAATCCTCTTGTTGCCTACCTACATGGGTGTAGAGGTTCTTAAGGTTAAGGCTCTTGACCCCGATATGACCTCTGACCCCACACTTAACCCTGACAAGTCTATCACACCACAGCTGCTTTACTCTTTGGTGGATAGCAATGTGGAGTTCTTTTCTGTTGAGCCATACACTGGACTTGTGACCGTCATCAATCAGAGCCTCAATAAAGACCGTTATCGCTTCAATGTGAAGGTAGGTCTTTAGTGGACATGACATACCATTTGAAAGTCTTTTCATCATTCTGCTATCTGGACTAAGCTGGGCAAACATAATAATGATTTCCTCCAGAAGGTCAGATTCCTGGGTCAGTGCAGAGTTGTGCACATAGAGCCCAAAATTATGTGGTGACTTGTTACGGGATACATCATCTGCATGACTCAGGATTTTCTGACCCAGGATTACATCCAGAATTATTTTACTGTTTATATTAAGAAAATAAGGGCAGTCAAATTGAGCTAAGAAAAAACCTCCAGCATTACATTCTCTGCTATAGCTAATTCTGACTCATTTATCTTCTTTCTTTCAGGTTTGGGATGGACGTTTTTCCAGCATGACACTGGTCACGGTGCTTGTCCGAGAAGCTATAGACAGCGGAATTCTCTTCACCTTCCCAGTTTACTTTGCCTCCATCCCAGAGAACATACCCAATATCACCTTAGCGACTGTGGTGAGCACAGTTGGTCACCGCCTCAACGAGCCACTCAAGTACACTCTGCTGAACCCCGTTGGGCGCTTCAGCATTTGGCCCACTTGTGGAGCAGTGTTCACTACCGGTGTGCCTTTTGACAGAGAGGAGAAGGACAGTTATGAATTGGTGGTGGAGGTCAGCAGGGAAGATGAAATATTGAGGGTGGCTAGGGTGATCGTGCAAGTACAGGTAGGTATGGAAATCATCTGCCTGCAAGCATGCTTCTAGTTGTTGCTTTTTCTGTCCATCCTTCACACTTACAGTAATGCAGACTTGGGCGTATTGGGGCAGTCATGTGTTTTCAATTCTTTTGGTTTAGAATGCTTTAAATACGTTTTACATTGTTGCTTGAATGTGTTTTTGTTATAGACTAATTTGGTAGGACAGTGGTGCAGTGGTCAAGAGATTGCGGTGCAGACTTTGTGTTGCTGAACAACATTAACCCTCCTGAGCTTTAAAATGACCCCATTATGTTTTTCTTAAAATCCAATCTTCTAGGTGGAGGATGTAAACGACAACTCTCCACAGTTTGTGAACCTTCCCTACTACGCTGTAGTGCAGGTAGAAGCACAGCCAGGATCAAGTGTTTTCAGGGTCTCAGCTACTGACAAAGACTACGGTCGGAATGGACAAGTGACGTACAGCCTTAAGGAGCAGCACAGAAACTTTCAAGTAAGTAAAACATCTTCCCTTATTTTATATGGGAGGCTTTAAAATGTTATAATTTTGCAAATTCATGAGTTGGACTGATTAATGTCTATAAATCCCATGCAGGTGCACCCTGTGACAGGAGAGCTGACCTTAAAGAGAGCCTTCGAGGCAGATTTATCTAACGCAGAGTACAAACTGATCCTTGTGGCGACTGACGGTGGCTTCCCTCCTCTGTCCAGTGAGGTGGAGCTGCCTGTTAGTGTAGCAAATAAAGCTATGCCAGTATTTGACAAGCCTTTTTATGGTGTCACCGTCAAAGAGGATTTGGATGTCTCCACCTCCGTCTTGTGTATCAATGCCAGTAGTCCCGAGGGCCAGAGCGTCATCTTCACCATCACAGATGGAGACCCATCCCTCCAGTTTGACATTGGCTTTGATACAGGAATCATCCGTGTGATTTACCCGTTAGACTATGAGACCACACAGTATTACCGTTTAACGGTGAAGGCTACCGATACACTGACCGGAGCTAAGTCGGAGGTCGATGTGGACATTGTCATGCTGGACGTGAACGATAACCCACCGCTGTTCCTGAACACCTCATACTCAGCTGTGCTCTCTGAGAACTCCATGATTGGAACATCCGTCTTACAGGTGTGTGTGTGTGTGCGTGCGTGTGCGCATGCCTGTGTTTGCTGAGTTAGTCCAGTGTGTACTCTAACTGAATGAGTGTTTACACTTAAGAGTCACTTCAGCAGCATTGCGGATGGCTCATTTATTCATGAGAAGATGGTGTGATATTTGCCTAGAAATTTCCCAGTGGAAGTGCTTGACCTTTAATACAATAGTGCTCTTTTTTCATTCAGGAACATATTTCTGTTTACAAGATGAGAACATCATATGATTGAATTTGGATTTTTCTCACATCTTTTTAAGTCAGTCAGCAAAATACTGTAGGCCCGTGTCCCTTTTTACTAGCATTAAAGTGTAAAAGAAACAGATTTAAGAACAGAGGCTTATAATCACTGAGCCTTAAAATATGCTTTGCTCTTGCTCTGTGGTACTGCAGTGTTGTTTACCATGTGGGTCGTATTTAACCTGATCAAAAGCACATCTCTGCCTCAGCAGTCAAATAACAAATTTCTGGACATCCAAGAAGGGATGCCAAATGGTTTGGTATCAGTACATGAAACAATCGCTAAGAGATGACCCAAGTTTCTGTTTATTAGCTCTGAATGGCTATAATGGGCAAAATATAAAGATAACTTTGATAAATTAAAAATCTTGGTGGTCCTCCTTGGTATGAAGGTCAGCTTTTTCAACTTTAGTGAAAATTGGGGAGAAATGTTTGGTCTATAAATGTACGGCATCAGTATGGCAACCACATCAGTTAAATTAACACAAATTAAATTAACATAAGCTTGGTGAACTGAGTTTTCCCCAGGTCGTTGATGAACAAATAGGTGATCTGACTGGCGCAGCCTGGTGAAACAGTGCGGCCTCTCATTGTTTTACAAGACAAAATAATTATTTGTTTAAGTCTAAGAAACCAAAATGCCAAAATATATTTTTGCTTATTTCAGTGACCTCTAGGGGTTATGTGCTGTGTTTTTTGTAGTTTCTCAATATCAAAATATCAGTTTCTCGATACCTATTTATTATAGGTACAGCTGGCCTTCATATATTTGAAAATCATGCATATGTTTTAAAAGTTAACTGCACAAACTCACTTCCAACTTTGACCCAATTGTAGCATTACATTGCTCAAGTCACAGATATAAAAAAACAGGGGACCAAATTTCAAAACCTTTTATATTTGTTTAAAAGAGCTGCACAGACTCCGACAGAAGTAAAAACACTTGGAGCGCTATGGCCGACTAATCTGATTTTCTGTTTGGCTTCCATATGATTGTTCCACCTCCTTCTTTAACATTATATCACAACTTTTAATATTTTTATATTTTATTACTTTATTTTTGTAAATAGAGTTGTATCTCAGCAAAATGTTCACGCTGAATGTTAAACAAATGCTTTGACAAGGTTTTACATGTCTTTCTATCCTATTCTCAGTAAAATCTGGAACGTTATTTACTTTTTCAATTGGCTGCAGTGGTGGTGTTGTACCCACAGAGTATGTGTGGGGTAAGCAAATCAGCCCTTATCTTGAATAATGCATGAGGCAGGACACAATTGAATGTAACTCTCCGTGTAGGTGTTTGCCCAAGACCAGGACACAGAAAAGAACGGCGTGGTGAGTTACCAGATCCTATCTGACATCTACAACAGCACCGACTACTTCAGCATCGACAGTAACAGCGGGCTGATATACACGGCACGTCTGCTCGACTATGAGCTCATCCAGCGCCACAACTTCATTGTCAGGGCGACGGACAGCGGAGACCCTGCCCTTAGCAGCGATGTTACTGTCTCTGTGACTGTAACTGACACCAATGACAACCCACCTAATTTCAGCCAAATGCTGTACGAGGCCTTTGTCAGCGAGCTGGCTCCCAGAGGACACTTTGTGACTTGTGTTCAGGCATCAGATGCTGACATCTGTGATGCCAGTAGGCTGAGGTAAGGAAAAAGACGCTTTGAGAACTTACCGATTCTGTGTTTTCTCTGTAGACTTGATTTACCTTTGAACCTAGATGCAAATCCTCTTTAAGAATTTTTCAGATTGTCACCTCTTGAAAAGCACAGTGCGGTGTTTTGGTTTGCTAAAATCCCAGTAATCCTGGTTCAGTTTCACACGAGGCTTTATTTAGATTTTTCTCAAGCAGTTTTGGCTCAGCACCCCTTCAAGACAAGTAGACACTTGTAATTTGCAGCACCTCTTGAGCAAAATAACTTTGTAGACCGTAAGCAACACAAGCTCTCTCTTCTTCCTCCGCCTTCAGGTACAGTATTCTCTCAGGAAATGAGAAAATGACTTTTATGATGGAGCCAGATACGGGGGTGCTTCGTCTGTCTAACAAGAGGAGACAAGGCATGAAACTCTCCTATCAACTCAATGTGTCCGTGTCGGATGGAGTCTTCACCAGCACTGCTCAGGTGAGACAACTTTTGGCTGTTACGTATTCGTTCTGTCAGCTGAAATGGGCTGACCTTCTTCACCGGACTGTCAAAATTATTACCAACCTTCGCTGCTGCTCAGTGTAACTGCTGTTTCTCACAACTGCCAGCTCCACAGTAGGAGGTTAATGTCTCGCCATATCAGATTTACTTTGAGGATAAGCTGCCAGCTGGAAAAAATACTCACATCTGTCTCTTAGTGGTAATTACAAATGGGAGATTTGAGGGGGGGTTGGGTCATATATCACACATTTCTGTTGCAATAACACATCACCCCATTCTTAAAGTTCTTCTTCTGACATGCACGAAATATGTGTGCAGCAGTTCTTCACGGAGGTGTCAGTATCTGTGTGTAATCCGTGTGTAATTCAAATCAGTAACTAATTGTTCACAACCCTGGTGTTCTTACTACTGCTTTGCCTTTTTGATTTGATCGTGTTTGACAAATCAGCCGGTGATGTTTGTTGGGATGGCAACAGCAGCATGTCAGCAGACAGTGAGGATAATGATGATGGAGTGATGTTGCGATGGTGATTCACAGGTGATTGTACGTGTCCTGGGAGCTAACCTATACAGCCCAGTATTTAGCCAGAGGTTCTACTTGGCTGAGGTCCAGGAAAATGCACCGGAAGGGTCAAAGGTCATTCAGGTAATTTCACTTTTTCAGTGCACTGAATTAATGAATACAAAATAACACAATGAGGAATATTGATGAATTTATGTGTGGACATACAGGTCCGCGCAACAGATGAGGACTCTGGACTGTACGGACAGATCACCTACTCGTTCATCAACGACCTGGGGAAAACTCAGTTCACCATTGATGCAGATGGGGTCATTTCCACTGTTCAGAAATTAGACCGAGAAAACCCTTTCAACAAGGACATGGTGCTAACTGTGATGGCCCTGGATGGTGGAGGTAACTGTTTCCCTAAAAAGCCATCTTCAAATCAGCTAATATAAGTAGAGATTCTCCGATTGCAATTTTCTTGGCAAATTTCATTTTCCTGTTTTATTTCTCCGCATGACCAAATTTTCTTTCTAATAACAATAACTGAGAGCATATAAAAATAAAAATCAACTTTTCTTCAACACAAAATATTTTTAAGTTTAAAAAGTTTATTTAAGTTATTTAACTTTACAGTTTCACCCCAAACTGCTCTCGATGAAATAACTGAAAATAAAGAGCTCTGCTGCTGGAAAGAGTTATAAAAAATTGACTGAAATTGAGCTGCTGTACACTCACCTTTACTTGGCCTTCACCTAAAAAAAGCAGGTGCAATAGATTTATATAACAAAAGTTGGTTACATACATCAACCCTTTCCTCTTTTTCACTTGTCTTCACAACTTTCCTGGTAACTGCATTGATGCTTCTATTGCTCATACAATTTCCTTCATTAGCTTTTTCTTTGCGGGGCTGCCCCTGCAGTTTACTTTGGTAAACGAAATGCCATCATTCACTTTCGGGAACGTCCATACTAACCATGCGTTAGCATGTTGCGTTGAAGGTGCATAGACTTTTTTCCTGTTGTGCATCGATTCATTAATCCTAAATCGATTTTTAAATATATATGAACTATTCCAACAACCGCCAAACAGTTAAAACAACAAATGAGAGCAAGTAAACGGATACCGCAAAAAGATGTAAACAGAAACTACTGAAAGCCGACATCTCACAGGTTCCGAAGCTGCGGGTTTCCTCACTCTCCGAGCAAAATACATTGAACCAGTAGCAAAAGAAGATCACAACTACACTTCACATTTGATAAACATCGTCATGAATTCCCTCTTGCTTTGGCAGTTTTGATGAAATCACACTTCCTGCAGAGCTCTTTCACTCTCTCGGTGTACTTCAAGAACAGTTTCCCCATCTTAAATCTCTGTTTTCTGCATTATTTGCTTGCTTATTGCACACCAGTCTACCATTGTGTTCAGCGCTGTCGCATGCTGTTTTTTTGTTGTTGTTGTGTTTTGTTTTGTTTTTCAAAAATGACCTCTGACAAGAAAGCCTCATTTTTGCTGTTCAATATTGAAGAAATTAAAATTTTTTTTGCCAAATTGGAAAACACTTAAATGTCTCTAATAAAACCTCTGTAACTGTAATGTTCGTTTTTTAAACTACTGCAGAATATTTTAATACTTCTGACTGTCTGAGTCAAAATTGAATCAAATCAAATCAAATCGAATTGGGACCTTGTGAATCAGAATTAAATCAGCTATAGAAATCAGTGATAATACCCAGCGCTAATCTGTATCATTTGTGCATATTAAATGTATGTGTGTTTTTATTTTCCAGGCCGTGCATCATTTTGCACGGTACGGGTGGTTCTTGCAGATGAGAATGACAACGCCCCCCGGTTCAGAGCAGTGGAGTATCGTATGAGCATTAAAGCAAATGTTGCCAAAGGTTCTCTTGTCACTCAGATCCAGGCCACTGACCCAGATGCTGGGTCTAATGGAAGGATCACATACTCACTTTACAGTGAGGCACGCCTATCTCTGGTCGATGTTCTGGAGGTCAGTGCATGTTGCTTTTCAACTTCTTTTTGACTGCCCTTTGTAAAAAGAAAATTAATATCTATGCAACACATAAAATCACATAAAAATGCAACCACATGCAAACTGCAACAAATTGATTTAAAACTCATTAAAGCACAAACTCTGTTAGCGGTAAACTTGATTTTCAATTAAGGAATGTTTTCACATGACCCTCCGTTCCCACTTCAGGGGATTAAAAGCCATCTGTTTGCTGTAGATTATGTATTTTTAATCATATAATCAAAATGATGTTGCATTAGGGTTGATGCTTTGGTCAATTTTGAAAATACAATTAAATTTAAATAAATGTGGGCTATAAATAAATCGAAACACCATGGAATTAAAGGAATATAGCTGCAACTTATAAACACTGTATGTCGCGGTGAAGCTTGAAGGGCATTGCGGTTCAGTTTGTGCGCATAAAACCGTGACGTTCTCCTTGTATTTTATTAATGTTAATCAAAATGATATAAAAATAGCAAAAACTTTCGTGGTTTGGAATTAAACACATAACTACAAATGTCAACAGTTTAAAAAAAAAAAACTCCCAAAAGCTGATTTAAATAGCCTTGTGATTTTGCTGGTGTTCAGGTGGAGCCAGACAGTGGCTGGATGATGACTAAAAGCACAGTGGACCACCTCCAGGGCACTGTGCTGTCCTTCTTTGTCAAAGCCACAGATGGTGGTTCTCCGGCTAAGCACTCCCTGGTGTCCGCCTTCATCCACGTAGTCCCTCCAGATGCATTCGTTCCCTCGTTCAGCCAGCCTCAGTACTCCTTCACCATCCCTGAGGACACAGCGGTAGGAACCGCCCTGGGGTCTGTGTACATGGGTGCTGGACAGACCGGGTTCTTTAGTGCAATCGCAGGGGAGACACTTGACAGCAACCAGGAGGGGACCTTCCTGGTGGAAAAGGAGACTGGTCTCATCCGTCTGGTGAAACCGCTAGACTATGAAGAGGTCAGCATCTTCCGCTTTAAAGTTGCAGCAACAACAAGACGAGACCTGATTGAGTCAGTCTCCACTGTAGATCTGGAGGTTAAGGTTGGTACCACAATGCACTGCAGAAGGATAGCATTTGCTTTCTGTTTTTCAGTTGAATAGGGAAATGTGCATATGCAATTATGGATTTTATGAAATAATTGCAGATTTATGTGATAAATTAATTAAAATAGTAAGAAGGGGGTAATTGTGCTGTCTTTTCATTTAGACTTTGTTCAGCTGAAGCAGATTTATTGTTTTATAGATTCTGGACGTCAATGACAACAAGCCGCTGTTTGAGACCAGCACCTATGTAGCCACGGTGATGGAGGGGATGCCTGTGGGGACCAGAGTGGTCCAAGTGCGTGCTCTTGATCCAGACTGGGGCTCTAATGGGCAGGTGTGTGACAGTCAGGTTAAACTGTGAATCATATGTTTGTGATACTTTAAAACAAGCATTTTTCTAAATTCAGAGAGCTACAGGCGCTGCTATGCATCCTTTATTTGAATTGCAGGTAACCTACAGCCTCGGTCCTCTGCTCACCTACAATCTAGACTTGACAAGGGATGCCAGCTTCTTCTCCGGGCCTGTGTCTACCACTTCTGTCTTTGCCATTGACAGTAAAACAGGTTGGATCACCACAGTGAGTCAGATGGACCACGAGGCCTGCTCCAGCTACAGCTTTGAAGTAGTAGCGTCTGATCTGGCCGAGTTACTGCCTCTCTCCTCCACCACAGTGGTGACCATCACTGTGTCAGACGTCAATGACAACCCGCCACTGTTTGAGAGGGAGCTGTACCGAGGTGCCGTAAAGGAGAGCGATCCTCTCGGTGAAGTGGTGGCCGTTCTGAAAACCAAAGATCGAGATGGCACGGATCAAAACCACCTCGTCAGCTTTTGCATCACTGGTGAGGACACTGAGACAACTAACAGAATGCTGTCCCGCGCACTCTGTGCTGCAGTAACTCTTCGTCTTGCAATGAGATGAGACTGTGCTGCATCAAAATCATTTATTGGTCTAACATGGTTTCTGTTCCAAAGGTCAAGTTATAAATTAATTTGAACTGATATGCCAAAAACAGCTTTCCTTTAACTTGTATTTTTTTTTCATTTTAATATTACAAAGTGCCCATTATACTATGAAACAAAAATGCTTTGTAGAAAACCTTAATCTACACTCATGTGAAGAAAAAAGAAGTTTTTGCACTATGACAGCTGGGACGGGCTCGTGGCTGATGGATAGAATTATCAGGCAGGTGCTTCTAATGAAATGCACTTGATGAATTGATCATTCTCGTTCACAACCTTAGCTATTACTTTATGCGTTCGCGCTTTAAAAAAAAAAAGAAAATAATAAAGAGCATTGCTTGGCCTCTCCAGAAAAACTCTGACCTTGATAATGAGTAAGAGCACGTCCATTCACAACACACTGTGTGTTAATGATTGCAGATGATGTATTTTGTCCTTGTTTTCTGGCATTTAAAAAATACAGATCGGCCGAGTGAAAGTGTCATAAAAGGTCAAACTTTTAAACTTTGAAGGGCCACGGCCGCTGCCCTACCCGTCTGGTTTACATTATGAAGATGGTTATTGATTGCACCAAAGGGTGCCTGCATCATTTTTTATGTGCGGTTGGAGAGAATCTTGTTCTCATTCATCTTGCGAATGAGTAATGACTCGCAGTTTGTTTACATTTAATACAATACATCTTCACTCCTTTCTTCACTTTTTAGTGTCAGCGCTTTAATTCTCATCTGTATGACCTCCAGGGGGAAATCCACGAGGAGTGTTTGGCCTGGCCCGTGTGCAGGGGGAGTGGAAGGTTTATGTGAGTGGTCTGCTGGATCGCGAGCAGCAGGACTGGTACCTGCTCAACATCACTGCCAGCGATGGCCTTTATGTCGCTCACACCGCAGTGGAGGTTACAGTCATGGATGCAAATGACAACAGACCCATCTGCAACCAGGTCAGGGATAAAGACAAATGGAAAGTGTGCAAAATGAAAATATGCAAAGTAAACAAACCGAGAGGAGCTTGTGGAATGTATAAAGCACTGCAGAGTAAATGGCTCTATCTGCTGTTTGTCTCCATATTCCAGTTAATTTTCTGTCTATAAACAGAGAGAATGCATTGCTTGTGACCATGCATGCAGTCATGTATGCTTGTTATTGAAAAGGTAAGTTAGGGCATTGTGTTTGTGGACTGAATGGGGAAAACAAAAGCTGTTTATCAAAGAAGGAATTTTTAATCATTTTATGTCTCATTTAAATTGTTTTCTTTTTCAATCCCAATGAGAGCGTCAAGATTAGTGGAGATTCCCAGTTCCCCCAATGATGAACTTTCTTTTGGGTAATCTTAACGCTGGCTTAGCTCTGAAAATTCAGCTGCGTTGAATAATGTTCAAATCTGCATATTCATGACTTAGTAAAGAAAAGTCTGTGGCTTCACGAGTAAAACTGGATTTGCTCACTTCAAATATTGATACTTTGTTCTAAAGTGCATCGAAGTTCTAACTCGCTGCAAATGAATTCAGCCAAATTGTCTTTGTTTTATATTTCGGGCCAAGTGTTGTAATTTATGTATAAACTGACTTTTCCATAGTGCTTTTATGGAGTGCATAATGCAGTCTTAATCTAATAACGTACTAAACCGATGAATGGTTCTCTTTGAATTACACAAGTTTGAGAATTTACACAAATAAAAGACAGTAATCATGATAAAGCCAATTAAGTTGAGTCCCTTGTGCTATTTCCTACCTTCCAACGCCAACATTCACCCTACATTTAGAGTTAGTCTCAAAAAGACAATCTAGGAGAGGAAAATCTTTATGAAATGAGAGAATAATTGGACTGTGAAGTCTTCTGGGGACTCTCCTTTAATTTAGTAAAATTCTGCAGTTCTTCAGTTTCACATAATTAGTTGAGAAACTTTCTTGTTCCCTCAAAACTCTAAACTCCTTGAAATGCTCCCTGTTCTCCTCTGATAGTCTTTTTTTCCCTTCTCGCACGAGCCAACACTATAACTACAAAGTGATTAGTCTGACGTTACATGGCGACAGCAGCAACTGGATCAAAATGACACTCACATTGCCACAGAATGAACTCTAACTGCTGTTTGGGCATCTTTTCTAATGTTTTTTTTTCATAGGAAGATTAGTAGTAGTAGTAATAGTAATGGCGTTTTTCTAGTAGTAACGATTTCAAACTCTTAGCTGGTGCTTGCTCCTTTCTTGTTTTTTTTTTGTTAAGTGATTAATCAGGATATAAATATTAGAAAATCCCCAATTTAATGCTTTGAATTTTTATTTTGTTCAACAAACAAAAATGCAAAGATGATATAAAACAAATTCTTGGCATTTTTCAAACCTTCGACTGGTTACTAGGTGTTTCACCTTTATATATTTTAAATCTGAACGTTAGAAGATTCAGCAGAGCCAACAGAGCAGGGTGGGGTGTGCTAAAATGCCGTTGCCGCTGCTGGTCCGTGTTTGATGAAATTGTGAGGCCACTAAGCTCCTTTTCTCCAGTCAGTCACTGGCAGAAATGGACACCGGGTGATAAAAGGGAACTTCTATTAGCTGGAATAATGGATCAAGTGCCCAGTAGTTGGATGTATTTTTAATGTATTAGACAGATGCATTTTTTAACTAGAATGGTTAGTGTTACTATTACTCTGCACTTTAATTTCTGCATATGCTTTTGTGTTATCACAGGCCGTGTATAGCACCTCTTTTCCTGAGGACATTCCCATTAACAAGGGCATTCTAAGAGTGGGTGCAACAGATGCTGACTCAGGCTCCAGTGCTGAGATCCAGTATTCACTGTTTGGCATTGGGGTTGAAGATTTCTACATGGATGCAAACACCGGTACATTTAAATATTTAATTTCAAGGGCTTGTAGCAAAAACAAACAAACAAAATCTCTTTTTATACCTCCCCATTTATGCCCTTAGGTGAGTTGCGTACAGCCATTGTGATGGACCGGGAATTGTCCCCCAGCTACAAACTCATCGCCCAGGCAACTGACGGGGGAGGCCTGTTCTGTCGCTCTGATATTTTTCTCAAAGTGTTAGATGTCAATGACAATGCCCCCCTCTTCTCATCCACTCATTACCTGGCGAGCGTGTACGAGAATGCTTCGCCTAAGGCTTTGCTCACCCGTCTACAAGCCAGCGACCCAGATGAAGGTAAGCTGCTGTTAGATAAGTAATGTCAGGCAGCGATGATGAATTCAGAAAGTTTTAAGCTTTAAATTATTTAAAAATAATGTACTGTTTGAGTGTCCGAGCAAGATTATGAGCCAAGATGTAATATATTGTGAACAGTTAGTATGAATGTGTTTTTTCCAGGTCTCAACCGTACAGTGCTGTATTCTCTGGTGGACTCAGTGAACGGGTTCTTCTCCATCGACCCGGTAACTGGAGTAGTAGTTCTGGAGAAGTCTTTGGACAGAGAGAGCCAGGACTCCTATCGTGTTCGTGTGGAGGCCACTGATCGAGCTGGACAACAGGGGGCGCTCTCCTCACAGGTTGGTGGGTAGTCCAAGTGACCCAGATTCAGTATTGATTGTGTCTACAATCAATGTTAAGTCTACCAAACATTACTGTAGGAAATATTTACGCCTGATGCTCCTGATACAAAAAAGCCACTTGTTCTGAAATGAATGAATAATTGAAAGACTAAATAAAATAATAAATAATAAAAATGCACTTTTGAACAAAACTGACATTTATAACAGTGTTTTGCAGCATTTATGTTTTTTGGGTAACATAATCTTGTTTTTGTGAAAGAAATCAGGTGAATAACACATGATCCTTGAAGAGATTAGGTAAATCCCCAATTAGATTTTAATTAAGATAGCTCGTAGTCATGTGAACCGTGTGGAACAGAAAAAATGACGCAGTTACAGAGAGAAGCGGTGCAGAAAAGGTGGAAAACAGATATGTGGCAAATCTGAAACTGTGTTGTGTCTCACAGCGGCTATTTAAAAGTAAACTTTAATTTTGCTCATTCACTGACCATAAATGCTGGGAATGGCGTTATTTTTAGGAGTAGGTGTCACTTTCATTACAAATATAGAGAGGAGTAGTTGTTGTTCTGCTACTTGTAGTAGATGATTGTCATAGCCACAATGATATAAAAGCAAAACTACAGTAATAGGATTAGTGGTGTCCTGTATTAAGTACCGGTAGGTGGAACTTGTGACTCTATATTCTATAGAGTCAAAATAGCATTCATCTAGTAGCCACCAAACTCTCTCACCCTATAGCAGGCACAGATTTTAGTTGGTTTTTGCCACAGCTTCCTATTTTATTACTAAAGCATATTTTTCTGTACAACTTCTGTATGCGCTTGTGGTCCCTTCTGCCTTGTGGTGAAACGGCACTGAAAGCAGTGCAGTAAAGTGGTTAGGTGCTGTTTTACAGTCTTGTGTGTCTTCCTCAGGTTTATTTGACCATTTTAGTGCTGGATGTGAATGACAATGCTCCAGTCTTCCAGAGAAGAGACTATGCTGTAACTGTCCCCGAGGATGTAGCCGTGGGAACCGAGGTGGTGCGAGTCCTGGCAACAAGCGCTGACATCGGACCTAATGCTGAGATCACATACAACATCCGGTCGGGTAATGAGTTAGGAAAGTTCACCATAGACAGGAAATGGGGTGAGTAGATATCTCTGTGTGTGGCTTGTGCCATGTTATTGTGAAATTTAAAAGCAGGGAATTAAAAAAAAAAGAATATCTACTGATATGTGTGTTAAGGTTCTATTTCAGTGGCTGATGATTTGGACTTTGAGGTGTGTAAGGACTATTATCTCACCATCGAGGCCTGGGACAATGGCAACCCTCCTCTTAGCACAGCTACAATGGTAACCATTGAACTTATGGATGTCAATGACAACGCTCCAGCTTTCAGTCAGGACATCTACCATTTGCTGGTCAGCGAGGATGCATCTGTTGGGCAGACAGTTACAAGGGTAAGATTTAAGGCCAGATTTACTAAATGGGGCAAAATAGCCTATCACTCCAATAGAGACTAGTTATATTTAAAACAGGCTTTAGTAATTGATAGGCTCTGATGTAGGACTGTAAATTGTGTGACAACATTTTGACATCACCTTCTATAGCATTCTTGTATTAAGACAACTTAAATAACTTCAAGGGGAAATCTGAAAATCAAATTTCTATGCTCTTCAACTCCAGTACCACCGTATTTTCGATTTTGTGGATTAATCTTGTGTATCTGTGATCTATATCTCACGTATTGTCAAAGTGCACACTGCTGACTTTCTTGTTTCATGTTGATGTCAATCTAATCCTGACTATTTTCAGGTTTAAAGTCAATGTTGTCATCCCTTCGTTCTCTTTGGTCTTTAGCCAGTTTGTGTTTGACCCCAAGGAAATCAGGCCATTTTCTTTCCCTCCGGGTGTCTGTTTTTTAGGTAGTGGCTGAAGATCTGGATAGCCAAGTGAATGGGCGCATCACCTACTCTATCCTGAAAGGTGACCGAAACAACCACTTCTGGATTGACCCTGTAGCAGGACTTCTCAAAGTCAACAAGAAGCTTGACAGAGAACTTGTAAGGATGCATGTTTAAGTACAAAATCTCATAAACAATCAATTGTAATTTTCTGGTTCGTGAGCACAGTCAGGACAGAAAATACCAGGTCCCATCAAGGGCAACGCTCAATGAAATATCACATTATGCAAGCATAAGAGTGCTTGCCACACTGCCTGATGTACATACAGATATGGCAATCACATTCTCTTCTTCACCGCCTAGGTGTCCAGGTACTCTTTGTCGGTACAGGCGTTTGACAGTGGCTCTCCTGCGATGTCCTCCACAGTCACAATCAACATCGATATCTCTGACGTTAACGATAACCCCCCAGTTTTCAATCCTCCCAATTCCACGGTGGTCATACAGGTAAGTTTGAGCGTGTTTGCTGTCTATATTTATATTATTAGTTCAATGTTGTCTCAACTTCACTTTCTTACTTCCAGCTAAACCAAGCTGCTGGCACCACCCTGCTCCAGTTATCAGTCAGCGACAAAGACTCCCCTAAGAATGGTCCACCCTTTGAGTTTCGGATCAAGTCAGGAAATGAGGGAAACTTCTTCTCCTTGGACCAGACTGGGACTCTGAGGTCTAACCGTGTGTTTGGCCCTGAAGCCCCCAGAGAATTCACTCTTGAAATCCAGGTTAGGAACTTTACGGTTTTAAAAAGTATCCTATTTAATATGAAGACTTTTCTTTTATGCAGAACTTTAACACCAGTGTAAATTCAACCCACTAAAGCAAGACCTTATTATTACTGTAGAACTTTCTTTGCTGTTAAGTGTCATTATAACTTTTTTTATAACTTTGTCTCTCTCAGGCAACTGATTCTGGCAAGCCTAGTCTCTCCTCCTCTTCCTGGGTATTTCTGAGGGTCATTGGGAACAGTCAGTACAAGCCGACTGTCTCCCCTCTGGAGATCTTCATCGTCATGGTCACGGATACCTTTCCAGGTGGCCCGATCGGTCGGATCTCTGCAACTGACCGTGACCTGAGTGACGTTTTGTCATTTACCCAGAAGCCTCAGCCCAAGAGCATGTTTAAGGTCAACAGACAGGATGGCAGCATTGTAGCGCTGCCAGGCCTGGAACCTGGCAGGTGAACGCTAGACCACACAAACACACAGGAAAACAAAACACTGATATGGAAAAAAGAAAACTTTTTGGTGTAACAATTCAGTATGTTTTCTTGCCTTTTCTCAGGTACCAGATGAACGCTACAGTGAGCGATGGACGTTTTGCTGTGATAGCTGACGTTTCCATCCAGGTCGAACAAGTGACAGATGTCATGCTGCGTAGCGCTCTGACCCTACGTTTCAACTTGCTGTCTCCAGAGGACTTACTTAGTCGCTACCTTAGCCAAATTAAGCTAACGTTACGGGGACTAGGTGGATGGAAATGGTCACCAGGGCAGCAGGATCCTCTTCACATACTCAGTGTACAGCCAGTGATGGGGACATCGGATGTGGACCTGCTTCTAGCCATGGAGAGGCCAGAGACGCCGGGCAGTGGACGCATGGCTGTGTTCTACTCCCAGCAAGAGCTGTCTGCAAAGCTGGAGGAGGTGGCAGCGCAGGGTCAGATTCGAGGTGTGCTAGCTGGGGCTGTGGTGGTGAGCAGCACCTGTTCTGGCGAGCTGGAGTGTGGGGATAGAGTGTGTGAAAACACACTTGTGATGGACGGGAGCTCGCCTGTCACCTACAGCACAGAGAGGGTCAGCTTGGTGTCGCCTACGTTCAGCCGCAAAGAGACCTGCACCTGTCCCGGTTTGTACTACACTCATTTTTGAACCTTCACAGAGTCAGTGTCACAAACACGTATCATCAGTTCATGAACGGCATTGGTTGATAGTTTTCATATAAAAATCAGTAAAATCCTGAAATATCTGAATGAAAACATGCAGAATTTTTGCTTATGTAGTATACATTTTGCATTCTATAAAAAAGAAAATACAAAAACCACAGAGGCATATATTATGCATGTAAATATAAATAAATTAATGAAAGAATAATGTAAATCTGAAGGCTTTTCACATGATGACAAATAATATTTATATTTCTACCCCTTTTCAAACAGGAGGGACATGCCCCACCCCTGTGGAGCTCTGTGAAGGTCAGTCCTGTCCAGCTGATATGCAGTGTGTGCGTTCCGGTCCTACTGCGCCATCTGTCTGCCAGTGTCAGCCCAAGAGACTAGATGACTGTGCAGGTGTGTTTTGGCATGCCTGCAGTTTGTATAACTTCTGTCTTTCTGATTTAGCTTGATGAGGTTTAGTGTAACCTGAAACTTTTCCCGCTTCTCTGTGTGTTACAAATGTGCAGGCCAGACCTCGCTGAGTTTCTCTGGAAACAGCTACATCAAGTACAGAGTGACAGCGAGTGGCCAGAGCGGAGAGATGAAGCTCGGCCTCAGGATCAGAACACTTCAGAGAAGAGGAGTCATTATGTTCACACGGGTTAACCCCTGCACCATGCTTAAGGTACAGGTTACAGGGCTATCCTTTTTCGGGGGTCATGCAAAACACTGGCTGCTCATTTCCTGTTAGAAGGAAACATGTTTCTCAGTATATGTTTTTTAAAAAACATCATCAGGTATTATTCAGAAGATATAACTTTTTGTTATATAATATCACACTTCACCGAGTTCTTTTGATTCCTCAGAGGCATCCGATGGAAGACAAAACACTGCTCAGTAGACCATTTAACACTTTATTATTTCTAGAAGGGAGATGCGTCCTGCATGACACGCTGCTGCCGATCTCAAATTGGTCTTGTGCCACTAACAGTTTTATTACAGAAGCTTTTTAACTCTAATCTAAACAACAGTGTCTCAGTAACTTCCACTAGAGATGGTCGCCTCTTATCTACATTTTCCCAGGCAAGCGTGAGTGAGAGTCTACAGCTTTCTACTCCCCAAGGACACATGGTCTCATGCCTTTATTTTTCAGGGCTGTGTCCACTTAATACTACACTATATAACGTCTGGACTTCTTTAAGTTGCTTGAAGACGTTTCACCTCTCATCCGAGAAGCTTCTTCAGTTCTAAGGTCAAATGGTGGAGAGTAAAGAAGATCAGACACCAGCAAGGGAGGATAAGAAAGACAGACGCAACAACATTGTCATCCCCTATGTAGCCGGTGTATCAGAGAAACTCAGGAGAGTTTTCTCCAAGCATGACATTTCAGACCCAGCAACACGCTCAGACAAAAACTGGTTCACCCGAAAGACAAAACGCCAAAACACAAACTTAACAATGTGGTGTATGCTGTACAGTGCAGCGAGGAATGCTCAGACCTCTACATTGGAGAGACCAAACAGCCACTTCACAAGCGCATGGCACAACACAGAAGAGCCACCTCCACAGGACAAGACTCAGCAGTCCATCTGCATCTTAAGGATAAAGGACACTCTTTCGAGGATGCCAATGTTCACATTTTGGACAGAGAGGACAGATGGTTCGAAAGAGGAGTGAAAAAAGCCAACTATGTCCACTGTGAGCAACCATCTTTGAACAGAGGCGGGGGTTTACGACACCAACTCTCTGCCATCTATAATCCAGTTTTGAGATCCCTTCCCAGACGCCTTAACGCCCACTCACATCCTGGGCCATCTGACCTCAGAAATTCGCATGATAATGGGGCCAGGTTTCACAATGAACTCACCCGAAACTCTGGCTGTTTGGGACCCACACCCAGTTTCACACCTTGGCTCAGGCGATTAGAGGATCATCAGGGGGTCCTTTTGTCCCTCTGTGGGGGGACACTCCCACTAGGTTTATATCTGGGACTCTCCACCATTTGACCTTAGAACTGAAGAAGCTTCTCGGATGAGAGGTGAAACGTCTTCAAGCAACTTAAAGAAGTCCAGACGCTTTTCTTTGCAAGCTCCTTGGACTACGATGACCTGGATGACTGAGAACCTTCACAGACATACACTATATAACTTTATAACAGTTATTATTAATAAAAAGCATAGCATTATTGAGGCACTACAAATTATTTAGTTCCAACACTTTTCTTTCCTTCCACAGATTGAAGGCGGTCGACTCTGGTTTCAGTTGGACTGTGACAACACCCTTGGCATTATGGGTATCTCTGGCAGACCAATAAATGATGGCCTGTGGCATGCAGTCACTTTGGAGCTGACTATGAACTACACTCTCCTGTCATTGGATGACAGCTATGTGGAACGTCGCCGGGCAGCCAGAGCCCCGGTTCGTCTTTGGCCCTTGGCACCAGATTCCTCATTTTTCTTTGGGGCCCAAGTCAGGCCACTAAATGGGCAAGGTGAGAGGCCAGGCCCTGGGTCAGGGAGGAGCCAGGGAGGGCCAGGGCTTGCAGAGCGTGGCGTAAGGGGCCCTCCGAGAGCTCAGGACGGCTTCCAGGGGTGCCTGGGCTCGCTGATGCTGAACGGAAATGAGCTGCCGCTCCAGAATAAAAGGAGCCGTTATGCTGAGATAGCAGGGCTCAGCGAGGTCAAACTGGGCTGCGTGCTTTATCCAGATCCATGCGTCAGTCAGCCCTGCCTCAACGGAGCAATCTGCAGTAGCCTTCCCTCTGGAGGTGTGTGTATATATACAAAAACACGATCATGTGTATGTGCCTTGCTGTGGGACACATTCATTACTTTGTTTTTACTCTGTTTTTTCAGTTTTTAATCATTTTATTTTGATAACTTGTTGTTGTATCATTGATCATTATCATTTATTAGAATTATGCACAATAGTTGATATTAATTATAATTTTCAGACATAAAATATCTCTTCCACAGGTTTTATGTGCACTTGCAGTGTTGGATTCACTGGGGGGCGCTGTGAAATTGAACTGACATCCTGCATGCCAAACCCCTGCCAGAATGGTGGAGACTGCAAGCCTGTAGGCAGCGCATTCCTCTGTGGCTGCCCTACTGGACTCGGGGGACTTATGTAAGTTATAATAGCCTGGAATCGCTCACACTTTCTAGCCTTAATAACCGGCTGTAACAGCAGTGTTGACAAATGCTGTGTCCTGTTTAGAAAGTATGTAAACAATGAGAGCCGTACGGTGCTGATTATTAAGATACTCAACGTCTGTATCTCCCTCCCTCTCAGTGAAAACATGAAAGAGCATGTGCTGGACTCAAAATCCCATTCATTAGCCCACATTAGTTGTTATTGGGGGGGGGGTTAGTGGTTCTAATTTAATTCTGCATAATTTTAGTTGAAAAGCCCATAATCATTCTCTAGCTGTCTTCTTAATTACAGCTTAGTAATTGCCTTTGAAATAACCTCTCTGCTCATGCGGCTGTTCCACAGAGCCACCAGAAGAGGGCACTTTTCCCCCACAGAGGAATTTTTTTGTTTTGTTTTTGGCTTTTTTATGCTTTTGACTTGGATTTTAAAAATTCATTTGATTAATTTAAATTCAATTATCCTTACACTAATAAAACCATGGAAAAAAATGTATTGTTTTTTCAGGCACCAGATTGTTTATATCATTAATAATTAATGTTAACACAGATTGAAACCAAACAAATAGCTGTTGAATTCAGTTGACTGTGGAGTTGTTGTTGTTTTTTTCTTCCAGCACTAAAATATATGCATTACAATAAAAAATACAATATAGAATTTTGTTATTGAAAAAGCCAGAAAACTTGACATTTTCTCATTATTACTCATCTATTTCATAGGTTAATAAAACTAATGTGAGACAACTTCATTAACTTTTTTAATTATGGGATAAAGTATTCATCGTTTAAAATAATAATGACAGGATATCACTGGCCAGCACATCCAGGCCTTAATGAGTATTGTGTGTATAATTAATGACTAAGCTGTGACCTGCACTTTTATCATTTAAAAGCAAAACTTTGGAAAGTTCTGCCATGAAGCTTTCTGCAAAATTCTTCCGTCAGATTTGCAAAATGTTTTGAAAATCCCATCAAAGAGAAAATAATTGAAAAGAGAATTGCATGTATCTTCCATCCGCTGCACAGCAGGACACCATGCTTGAAATGACAAGCTGAGATGAGCATGTATGTGTCTGCAGTAAAATTACTTTTATGATGTTCAGCTGGAATTTGCTTCTTCAGTGGGAGTGTGTGTTCATGTTTTTTGCATTCATGCATAATTCTTTAAATCAGAACCGTCTAAATGTAAATAATGGGGAATCTTCCCAGCATTTGGGAAAAGAAACATTCTCTAAAAAGTTTTAAATGTTTTAGCTCACTCTCACCTTTGCATTCTTCCTTTTTCTTAACTTTGATAACATCATATTGCGGCCCCCCATAGCAGCTTTACTTACTCGTTTTTGCTGCCACAGATGTGACGACGACGTCAACGAGTGTGACCAGGAAGCGTGCGGAAATGGAGGAGAGTGCGTGAACACATTCGGGTCATTCTACTGTAACTGTTCAGAAGGGTATGAGGGTCAGCTGTGCGATGATCTGACGCCTGATGATCCTGGGGATGACACACAGGTAGCGTATGAGCGACGCTTGGAATTAGATTTTTGTAGATGTTACAGAATAAATGAAAAAATTATCGAGAAAACTCCTCAAATTGTTTTTTTGTGCATTCAGCTCGCACCTAATTGGACTTGGCATACACAGTGAAATTGAGAATTTTGAGTTTACAGCAGCCCCCTGGAAGGCTTATTCACCAGCTTGGTATCTTTGTTCCCACAGCAGATAAATGAGAGTGTAGTAATGCCTAAATTGCTGTTTCTATTTGAAGTTGCTATGCTCTTGAATTTATTGTGCCATATACCTTATACTGAGACTGCAAACCCAATTAATGTGGCACATTATAAGAAGGAAGGTACCTTCATTAATCCCTGGAGGACTGCAGCAGAGTTGACAAAATCTACTAAGCTTCTTTTACAACTAATGTATGTTAACTTTGTTCTTTGTTTGTTTGTTTTTCTTTTTAATTGAGTGCTTGCATTAGAGATAATGTAGAATTTTATTGCCAAAACTTATTCATCACGCATTGCATTAAAACAAAAAAGCTGTGAGCTCAATCACTCCCTCCAAATTGGAAGACCATAAAATGTGCTCATAATCTTTTGGAGTAGTGAGTGCATAAGGGTTGTAAATATACCCAGCTTTAGATGATGAATTTCCCCCCGATACCAAAATTTCATTTACTTCAATACTCAAAAGATGCTTTGTGTTTCAAAACTTTGCTAATTAGCGTCTCAGATGTAGCGATGAGATTCTTATTAATCTCATGTTTAGAGTAATAACAAACATTTAGAAATTGTTTGGGGGTTTAATATGAGCCCCCTTTTATAGTATTAAACATTATGGGGGTAAACTAACTTCACTATGTTCCTCTCAGGTCCTGTGAATTTTTCCTATTTCTTAAGGACATGACTTTCAGATACTGTTGTAGATATTTATTCTTTTGTCATTCACTTGTCCAGCTTCCTCAAATATATATACACCATGCCAAGATATGCCTATTTTTTGGCTAATAACTCTCTGGGAATCTGCTTTTTGGTGCAAAAACAGAATTTTATATCTGTCAAACTTTGTTACATTTTCTGTTGTTGGACTGAACGACTGGGAACAAACGATGTGTTTTTAAAAAAAGGGGCCAAGAAAAAATGCCTAAAATTTAATTGCAAATTGATTCTTTGCTAGGTTTTCTGTTATATGTGGGCACGGCACTAGTTCATCCTTTGATTAAGGTGTCTTTTTTATGCTTGAATGATTCACAGGTGAGTATTAAGTGGCTTAAGAAAAAAAAAAAAACATTCCTCTGAAAATGGTCAGGGACAAGGACTTGATTTGAAAGGAGTGAAAGGTCGTATCTAAAGGAAAAGTTTCAAAGACCTACAGAACGCTCAAGAGAAGACAAATTTTTAACAATCTAAAGAACTGACTTTTGCACAGCACCGTATGTTTTGGCAGTTCTTTTGGTGCTGGAAAAAGCACTTCATGTTCATGTTAATCATCTGACAACAAGGACCTTTTTTATGAAGTGTTATTGAATTATTTCTAAGCTTGTTCTTCTTTCAACTTTTTATCTGTGTATTTACTGATGACCTTAGAATTTTTCTGACACTTAACTGTTTGTTATTCAACTAGAAAAAATTATTATAATATTATAATGTTTTAATCATTTTACTTTTCTTGTTGTGCAGGCTGAGCCTCTGTCTTACATTGGACCAGGAGAGATAATTGGCATTGGAGTCCTTGCGTTTGTCATCATTTTCCTCCTCATACTCTTCATCGCCTTTAGGAAAAAAATCAAATTCAGGAAAGACTCAGATCCAGGCCCCGGTGTTCAGACTGGGATGGGCATCTCGGCTATCTCTACAGAAACTAGCTACATGCTGCACAAGACTGGCATGGGAGCAGAAGGGATTGAGTTTAAAGCCGTTCGTGTATCAGGCTCACCAGCAACCACAAGCACCTATGGTGAGGTGGGAGGCAGCAGTGTGGGCCCTCCCCAGGTCATGGTGCGCCCAACTGCCCACTCCCCTCTACCAGGAGGACTCAGTGGTGACAGGACCACTTCCAGTGAAGGCAGTCAGGTGTGCATAGCTTGTTTTAATTAGGATATTTATGTGTCTGCTTTATAGTAAATGCTGCGGAACAGACAAAATTGTGACAAAGTTAAATATCTGAATATGTTCATACTGCTAATATCTAAAAAAATAGTTGGTCAGACCATTTAGGAAAACACATGAATAATATGGTTGCTAAGCAGGAATTATATGCTTTAAAATAAGAGTATTTAAGTTTTAATATCAAACTATAACAATGAGCATCCAAAGTAATATCCACTTTATATGACACTATCAATATTTGTGGAGCATCATATCTCCCAGCTCATCAGTCCCTTTTGATAATGCTGCTCTTCCTTAATTTATCTGAATTTATATTACAATTTAAAAGAAAGAATATTATTTCTTATATTAGTCCTATTTTTTAAAAACAGCCACAGTGTGCTGGAGAAAGAATACATGGGCTCCACACACAGCTCGACTATAAAAACTGTGTTTTTATGGCAGGAACTAGGTTTTGATATCAAATAAAACACAAGGACGATATATGTAGATTAAAAAGTAGTAATGTTCCCAGCACATTCGCTCTATTATGTAGATAATCAGCTTACAGGATACAGAAAGTCTGCTCACATTTAATAATCATGTTCATGTCTTCTTTGTAGTCAATTCTGCATGTGATGGGCTAAAATAAGCTTCACAGCAGCGACTTCATCATGTGTGTGGCCCTTCAGATAGGGCGATGACCCAGTTCTTCTTTCATGGCAATAATTAAGAAAAACAATTAATGGTATCAGAAAATCAATTGGAATTGTTGGAAATATAAAACAGAAAGGTCGTACACCGGTGCAGAATATTGTATTGTTTTTACAAAAAGCAATCATTTGATAATTTATGTATGTTTCTGATTGTGCGTGTAATTGCACAAAGAATGAAATAATGATTTGTTTTGTAATAACGCATGAAATCCTGTATAAATTTGTTTGCATTTCGAGTTTCTGAATAGTAACCACCTGGCTTGCCCTTACCCGAACTTTCTGGATATTTTCTTGTATCTCTGCAGATTAGCAGCTTCCTTTCAGACATGTCTAATGTCCGAGGTATGGCCAATAGGCGGGGCGTCGCAGTGTGCAGTGTGGCACCCAATCTCCCTTCAGCATCTGCTTGCCGCTCAGAGCATAGCCCGGCCCACAAAGTGTCCTGGGAAGGCGAAGAAATGAGGGAGAAAGAGCTGGAGAGGGCTAGAGATGAGAGAGAGGAGGAGTGGGGGCAGAGAGCTTTTGAGCTGGAGAGAACACAGAGAGATAACAGTCCACAGGGTAAGACTGCAACAGTCTGCCTGCAAACACACACACACACGCATGTGCGCACACAGCTTCTAACCTGATCAAAAAGGCAAAGAGTACACAGGCCATGAACACATTGTGTTACACCAATACCACCATCTTCACTGAGAGAGCTCATTTCACAGTGCTCTATGCCTTTTGATCACACACATCAAAGAAAATGGCCCAGAGTAAGCAAGAGTGCTTAAAAAGTAATATTTTTATTTTGCTATCATTTCAGTTTTCTTATTTATTTCCTAGGAGCAATAATGGGTAATAGAACTTTCTGTTACACTGCTGAAATTGGCAATTATGTCCACTTGTATCAGGATAACTCTCTTGGATCTTGTGGGCACTTCTGTTTGAATGGTCAGGGTAATCAGCCAGAACTGATGTCCTATGTTCTTGTCCTACTTTGCAAAAAAAAAAAAAAAAAAAGCAAGAAAGAGAAAATAAAAAATAAAGTTCAGTTAAAATCAAAGTAGTTGGAACACTCCCACACAAAGTCACCCAACTTCTCTGTCAAGTTTCCCTCTTTTTATTTTTCCTTAAATTTGCTTCACACCTACCTTTGTCAGCTGTACGGGCACCAAACCGAAGGAGAGAAGAATGTCATTGTAATTCAGCATCCGTCTGATATTTTAGCTGCCAACACTCTTCCCAGTCTGTTCTCTGTCGATGAAATAACCACGTTGCATTTCAGTGCGCAGGTAGGCGTCAGATATTTCGATCCTTTGTCCAGCCTGTTGTGTGAATAATACAGCTTGCGGTGGGAACTTCCTGGCTGTTAATTATTGATTTTTTCCTGTAGGAATGGGAAATAGGTTATTTTATTTTTTTGGTCCCCCGCTGAGTGTCTGTAGAAAAAAGAAAAAAAAAGAACCAGCACCACCTCCTCACATTTATACCACCAGTCTATTAATTTAATGATGATAAAACTTATAGAAAACTGACCTCAAGATTACTGTGTTAATGACTGCAGTGTTAACTGCCAGGTTAACTAATCAATTGCAAATGAGTTTTGTAAGTTATTTACACCACGACAGCCACAAGCAAGTGCAATAATGTGTATTTCAATAACAAGGCCACAGGTCAAAACATGAAATAGTTACTAACCAGGGAACATCCCTGTTAGTAACTATGGTTATTTTCTGTTACTACCCGTTCGATCATAAATAAATAAAATGGGATGAATAATTAAATACTTGGAAAATACTCTTTGAACAAATCAGGCCTCATACTGAACTCTATAGTTTGGGGTTTTTTTGGTAACTGTTGGTAACTCTTCAGGATGTCTTCTTCGTGGAGGAGTATTTTAAACACTAACTATGAACTGTTTCACTCACAGGAAGTCATTTCTGAAGACTGACATTGGAAAAAAAAAAAGGTTTGAACTGTACAAACTCTGGTTTTCCCTTAAATACTCTTTTTCCATGTATGTTTGCACTTGTTACGGTAAACTTTTGCACCTATTTCTTAGGTTACTTGCAAAATACTAAAAAGTGAAGGCAGACTCAAGACTTTTAGCATGTTCACAGGAGGACAACATGCCACAGAGATTAAAACATGGTTCTAAAAATGGTCATTTCTGCTCTAAAGTCGGGTGTTTCAGAGTGAACTGATCGAGGCGTGACCTCTGGAGGTGAATATTGAAGCCAGTGCAGATGTGCCACAAACTGCAGTTCCTCTAGCTGTCACAATAGGCTGGCTTCAAGAGAGAGCTATTCCCCATATGCTTAAAATGTCCAACTTTACAGCATGTTTACGGTCTGGCTTCTATGGAGTGTTTCAACTCTGAGGGTTTTTTTTAAACTCATCCATCTGGAGTTAGGAGCGCGGCCGCTTTGACTGACATTTCTGTTTGATTTTGCTGAAAATGACTTTGAGTTGAAACTGTTGGATTGGCTCTGTTTTGCTTGGTAATTGTTAGTGTTTCAAACTGAAATGCTGAAAACTTGTCTGGAAAAAAACATAAAATAAGAAGGGAGCCAAATTGTAGACTGTATCACTTAAATCAGCGTAACATTATATTTTACTGAACTGGCTCGGCAAAGAAAGTAGTTTGGGTGGGTCTTAATTATAGGAACTTGTAAAAAAAAAAAACTGAAATAAAGAAAGAAAGAAAGAAAGAAAGAAAGAAAGAAAGAAAGAAAGAAAGAAAGAAAGAAAGGGTAAAACATTTTTGCTTTTTCCAAAACCTGATTATATTAAGTGTCCCCTTGCCTGCATCATGAATTAGACCTGTGGCTGCTGCACTGTCTTTCTTGTTTAGTTTGATTGATGGTACTGCCTTACTGATCACATTCCCACAGGAGCGTTTCGCTTCTTCCATATGCATTGAACCATGACTACGTAGCTTGAGCTCAGAAAGCTGAGGTTGATGTCCAGACATCCCGGCCCTCGCGGACACGGTTGCAGAGTACGGATTTGGTCACAAGATGGGCCGAGCCCTGAACGCTTGCTTACCAAACGTGAAGTGAAAAACAAGATTTTTGAAGATTTGAAATTCTGTCACACCTGTCAGACAAGGGTAAACTGTTGTGTAGAGGTGTGAGATTCAAAACGCTATCACAAAATCTCTGTTGTTATTATGAATTTACACCCACCCACCCACAGGAACAACTGTGTGCTGGGATGTATTAAGGTACAGCTGGAACTGCGGGAAGCAATTGCATGACATAAAATATTTGTATAGTCTTCTTGAAAAATGTATTTTTCTTGAGACGTTGCGTTAATGTGACACTGGCATCTTTGCTCCAAAATGAGCTGAATAAAAAGACTTTTGATGTACTTTTTTTGACTTGATGCCATATAATTTGTTAGTGCATCTTTGTTTACTGTGACTCAATACAAGCATCTGGAGAAGAATTCCTCTGAAAAGATGCTCATGAGGAAATATTCAGAACCCAGACCATTTATTGCCAATCAATGATTCTCACATTAAGATCCATCGCTACATAGCAGCAAGGCAGTAAAATGGATTTAAATAGCTTTCTATTTTCTATTTCTCTCTTTTTTTCCTCTCTGTTTGTTCCATCTACTAAATAAAAGCCTATTTAGTTTTCCCAAAAGTTTGCTAAAAGTTACTTTTAATCACATCAGCAAAACTGGCTCTTTGCATGCAGTTTTATTTTGCACAAACAATTGATCTCACAGCTCAGCCTTTCCACTCTGCTGGTCCTCTGTATTTCTTTCCCAATTTGAGCAAAAATGAAGAAAAAAAAAGACTTCATTGCTTCTACATAAGGGGAACCTGGTAGAGAAATTCACCTGCCTCTGGCTGTGTTGTAAACAGTCTTTACAGCTTATCTGAAGTCATAAGTACCTGCTACGGACCTCTGGGCAGTTGTTTGACAATCACTCAGAGGACACTTGGAGTGATTTGAAGGAAACAAACCTTCAAATAACAGCTCGGCAAAGGCACGAAACAAGGCCACACTGACTTCTAAGCGCCAGTTTATTTGAAATGATGCCTCTGCAGACGTAAAGGTTAAGGAAAACTGGAGATATTAGGCCTGGTAGATTTCTCCAAACAAAATGTAATTTGATTTGTGTGCGCAGACAAAATTGCAGGGTTGTAACATAAAAGAAGACCTTTGATTACCACAGTATGAAAAGCTTGACCCAAAACAGAAACCTACTTGCCACCCTACCCTGTAGCGCAGTGACGTTGTCATGCAATTTGCTCTATTTTGCTTTTTTTCTTTAAGCAGTTATTCAGCAGTTACATAACTACCAGTAACTCGGTGGTCTTCACCCCCTCCATGATAGTGCTGACAGCATTAAATGGACAGACCTGGATTTGCAGTAGGTGTACTGGGATTTGTGGAAAATGCTGTACATCAAAGCAGCGAGGAAGCCTTTATGGGAAAAAAAAATCATTCTGCAGGTCAAATATGTTTTTTAAATATGCTCTATCTGAGTCAAAAGTAGATGAATAGCAGATTTAGCCTCGCTCTTCTAACTGAACACAGCCAGCTAGAAAGAAAATGAACGGACAGGCGGAGTGACGGATCTGTGGACACATTTTTTCCCCATGAGTGCACTGAATGAACAAAGTAGAGAGTTTTCGGTCACTCTGATCCTTTCTTCTTTTCACCCTGATAGAAATCCAACTCAAAGCTGATGCGAGGTTATTTTAGCTCACACTTTAGAAGCTTCTTATTAGCCGAAGTTAAGCTTTTAAATGTAAATACAGCACGAGCGTTACTGAGCTTTTCAGATCTGAACGATTCGGATATCTGAACACGTCTTTCAATTCTGAACCTACATTTAATTTACCATGAGTGAAAGTTGCTGATGTGAATGAGTGTTGTTTTGTGTTTTTACATTAGACGTGTCGGAGCTGGCGGACGGGCTGGGGTGTCTCTCGGACTCCACCTCCGAGGAGCACTCACTTAGCTCCTACACTTCAGAGTCCTTCGATGACAACGGTAAGACTCTGATACTCAAATTAACTTAAGCGCATTTTAATTGCCAGAAGTTTGTAGGTAATGTTCCCCACACCAGTACCTTCTTTGTCCCACCATCATTTTAAACTCCTTCAACTAAAGCCTGGAACTTTCTGCAGAAAAAAGTCCTAAAAGTGGACAGATTTGTCAGACATTCTCACTGAAACATGTAATTGTTTCTCAGTTTACCAGTGTCTTCCATCTTCAGTCTGTCCGCTGCTTCATGTTCTGCATGCATATCCTTCTAACCTTGTTGTCTTGCTGCTGCTGTTGTCTTTGCTCGCTGTTTGTGCGTGCTGTTCTTGCTTTGCTCTTGGTTGCCTGATGCTGTTGTCCGTTAGATAGACTGCCAATTATGTGTTGCTTGCTGCCACGTGTTATTACGTCTTGTGACTGTATTCAAGCAGGGAGTGTTTTAAATGGTTTCTGAATGTGTGCCGCCGTCTTTTAAGCATCTGACATTTCTTTCTTAGTTCCCTTGAGAGGGTTCGCCTTTCGCAGGGCTGTCACTGTGAATAGGAATTAGTTCCTAATGAATTGCCTGGTTAAATGAAGGTTAGTGTAAAATCAAATGCTGGGCCTGTAGTAATTATTGAAAAGCAGGGTGATATTAGAGAAGTGGAAATGCTTTAATGCAACCAATATGCACAGGTTGCCTGTGCATCTTTTTTTCAGAGCTACAATTCCCAGATAACTCGATAGCATTGATTTTCCACTGGCTAACTATAAGAGGGTGGAAGTCAAGCACCGTAATGATGCTGATGTGTGTGTGTGTGGTTGTGTTCTTTACATAGGAAATCTATGTCAGTGCTTTATTTCCTGTCTAATTAGTGTAGCTGCAAAGAGTCCTCGCTTTCTTACAGGACACCCACACACACACACGCGCACGCACAGACACCACATGTATATAGACACGTTTGCAACATGCTTCCTCCGTGTTCTCAGCACCTCTGAGTCACCTCCACTGTATAAAACCTTGCCCTGTTCATGAATGCACTGAGATTATTTCCATTTCTTCTTCTCTCTTTCTGTCTTCTGCCTAGCCTCCATAGTGACAGTGATACGTCTCGTCAATGATACTGTTGATAACATTGAAAGTGAAGGTATGAAGGAAAATCCTCTGTTAACTCCCCTGTCTTCTTTGTGTCTGTCATACCGACGCCAACATATTTGTTCAGCGGCAGAGCAAAAAGATTTACTGAATGCAGCCGAGCCGCTGCCATTCAGCCCCCGTTCTTATTACGAATTAAACATCCTGCTTAGATTTCTAATATTTGTTGTCAGTTTCTGACACCGGATTTCTCTGTGTTTCAGTTTTTCCCCTTTGGTTTCTGGGTTGTTTGTCTCACTCTGTCTCTGACTTTCCCTTTCTCTCTGCCTTTGTAGTGTCAAACATGGACAAAGAACAGCGGCGTAGCAGCCCTGGTGAGTGAGATGCAACGCAATGGAAAGACATCTTATTAATTTGCCATTTCTTTGACTTTATTTGTCAGGGGTGAGAACCCACAACCTGACCTTTTGCATCCTTTGCAGTATTGTCTCTGAATACTTTCATCAGAGCCCAATAGTACAGATTACTATGTCTATTTATGCCGACTCTATCCACTCTTTGAATGTCAATGCAGGCTTCCAGTTTCCGATTATGTTTTCTGACCTCGGAGGTCGGGAAAAATAACTGGAATGTGAGTCGGTTTCTGTTGCCCTGTGTGTAGCAAACAGTGTAGGGCTTTCAGGTACAACATTCAGGCAGCTCTTTGATGAAATAAAAATATTATGTCCAGAGATACTTTTAAAACGTATTCTGCTTCATAGTTAATTAAAAAATTTTGAATTCTGATGACTGCTAAATTGGGCGCAGCAGTCCTAGCTCCAAGCAAAGCAAAGCTTTCACCCCGGCCTTGCAGAGGGTCTCAGAGGATTAGGGGCACTTTGAGCTAAGCCTCACATCCGCCCAGAACAGCAGAGGAGAAGGCAGCTTCAAACACTTTCTTTTTCAACATTTTTTTTGGGGGGGGAATCATCTACAGTCTGAACACTGACTTTCTGCTCTTAGCGAATGCATGGCTTTCCTTAAACAAACACCGGGGCCGTCACAATCCAGTTGCACCTATCCTTTAAGATCCCTACTCCGCTGTCAGTTGCTTGTGCTACACTCTTGCAATCAATATTAATTGGCTCATAGTTACCAAGTCTGTTTGTTCTCGGTTGCATGTAATTTACTAGGTCTACAAAGCATTTCGTTTCCAACCCAGAGCAAGAGTGTGTTTATGCCTCAGTCACTGCCAGCCTGCTGAAGCACACGCAGCTTCATTTCAGACAAAGAGAATTAAATGATGTTTGTCCAGTGGGTTTTTTTTTGAAGACATCCTTTGGATTCAGAATTTTCTGTTTTGCACAAAACATTTTTTTAATAAAGTTTTCAATCTCACAAGTTTATTTTCAAGAACAGCAAGAAGAAATGTGAAAAAAGCGAATCTGATATATCGTGGTATTTTTCCATTTTCTGTTTTTGTATACAGTTGCAGCATGATTGTGTGCATGTATTATCTATTATGAATTGTGTTTGTGGGTATAAGCGGCGTGCTAAATGGCTCTCTGCCAGCTTCCCTGTCTTGTTGTCGAAGCGTGCTTTCTTCTGTGTCATAATTCGCCGTCTCCTTTTGCATTCACCGAGAATTTCATCATCAAAGGTTCGCCGTCCCATGAGATATTTGTTTTGTTTCCCATTTTACTGACAGCGAGTCATCACCTGCAGAGCAAAGATGAGATTTGCGTAGAGTTCATCAAAGAGTACATTGTGGATTGTAAGAGCATTCTTTTTTCCCCCCCTCCCTTAACCCTTCGTTAGAACATTTTTTAACCAGAGACAGATATTTGAGGCAAGCATGGCATGGCAGTAAGATCTCGTTGGCATGGCAGTCCGTTAGATATCTGTGTCCACACATGTGTCATGAATTATATAGTAGTGGCTGGCACAAGCACAGTAATTAAGTGTACTCTCTGTCCCACACACAGGGTGACCCCTCTGCCTCCTCTCACTTCATCAATATGATATTTTTTCCCCTCACAGCTCATTAACCTAACCATGAATTATGCAACCTGCATGCTGTAGTTTGTAGGAAGTTGTGGATTAGCGGGGAGTTCTGTGTCAGTCCATTTAGCAGCATGAACTGAAATCTAAAATAAATAAATAAATAAAATGTCGACTAATTTTATTTACACATTAATAAAAAAGTAAATGAGAACTGAAGCGATTACACGAAGCAAACACGCTGGAGAAATCCCACGGAACAAACAGAAAGCCCCACTTACTGGCACTTTGTGGGTCTCCTGCTACACCTCTCAAACATGCAGCGCACACATGCACACATGCACACATGCACACACTATCATGCGTGCTTCATTTCTTGTGCAAAAATAAACCCAATCAAAGTTAGAGATAATAAGCATGGGGACAATTTAAGGGGAGAAGCAAAATAAACACGACAAGCCAGATAATATGCAAGCTATTCGGAAATGGGTTCAAAATTGATAATAAAATTGGCAACTTTTTTCCAGATGTTGGTGGTTTTACACCTTGAGAAAGCTTTTTTCATTCATTTTATTTATTTATTTTATTTGTCTTTAGTTTTGTTTTTGTTTTTACAAGGGCAGCGGTAGAAGCGTAAGTGAAAATGAAATGTGTGTGCAGCTGTAAGAATCACAACAGTCCTCCTATAACAGATGCACAGAAGTGTAGTTACTGGTGTCACCACTCTCTACCTGCTGGAGATAAGATTGCAGCGATACTGCTGTTTTAGACGAGGAGTTTATTTACCGATGGACACCTTTCGCCGGCTGATCCTATTAGACTGATTAGATCTGAGTCTTCATCACACTGTGCTGTAACACTGTGGTTCTTTAACTTGTATGCAACAGCTGAAAAAAGTTCATGCTCCAGATTTTTTATCAGTTAATAGCAACAATAAATGATACAAGCTGAATGAGGCCAGCGTGATAGCATCGCTGTGCTTTTCCTACATAAATCACATTTTACTGAGTAGATCTGTGTCCCACCGGTGGGACCACCACTGTAGTGCACCCTAATGCACACTACAGTAAAACTATATGCTTCCAGTGATTTAGGAGCAAAGATTTTTCCATGGAAAAAGACATATGTTGCTATTACACCATGTTAAGTTCCATTCCTTTCTTAGATTGTCCTTAAATCCATGCTGTTTATTACTGAAACTATGCCAAACTGTATTTTCAGCATACCGCTGGGAGTCTTCCTGTCAGACTTCAAGCTGGGTGTCGCCATCACGACTGCGTCCACCTGAGTTAGGATCCCATTATGAGCTTAATGACACCCAGCAGAACATCAGACGCGGAGGCAGCACGCACTCTCTGCAGCTGGACTACAGGGTGATGGGCTACAACGTGGACAAAAGCCGTGAGAGGACACAGGAAACTGGGAGGAGGACCTTTCAGTGGGAGAGGAATCAGTCTGGAGAGTGGGAGAGAAAACACACCCCGGACAGAAAAGAAAAGAGAAGGTACAAGGAGGAAGGAAAGAATATGAACATTAGGACCAAGGACATGGAGGGACACCAGGACCACGGAGATCAGCAGCTGCAGGACCAAGACAGCTGTGACGACAGCTCCTCGCCCGTGTATGAAGAGTACCAAGAGTCCAGACATGATCCGGAACAAAATGAAGACACGGAGAGCCTTTATGATATTCTACCCCCAACTCGGCGAGCCTATGAAGGATATCCGTCCAGTCCCCCAGGGCTAAACCTGCACCCAGCTCAACTTATGCCCCCCCTCAGGGCCTGGGACTTACAGACAGAGGAATGGAGGGGATCACGGGAAGACCATGGAGGGCTTGGCTCTAATAGTCTGGCAGGTTCTGGGGATGAGTTAGAAAGACTACTGAACCTGGTGTCACTGAGAGCCAGGAGAGCCACACGAATAAACAGAGCCTCTACCAGATCTGAACCTGCAGCAGGCTGGGATGGGCTGAAATGAGCTCACGCTCAAAACAAAAATATTTTCTGTTCCTTTGCAAATCACAGAGTGGCGGTGATCCTCTCTGGTTACGGTTCACATTTATAATCTACTCGAACACTGGTCCACCACCTAAAAAAAAATAATTGGACAAGAATGTTAACATACACACTTTTATTATCCGACATTATTATCCTCGTGTAAACAAGCACTAATCCACCACCAATCCCCTGGCTCATTTGTAAGCGGGAGGAATAAGAGGAAATATATGTGTCTCGTCACAGCTACACCTGGGCTGCCATTGGCTCTGAATCAGTGCTTTTACATGTATTATTTAGAGTCACTGAAGAAGAACATTTGGAGCTTGTTTTAGATCGCGTACCCCTCTATGTGCAAATTTTCAAATCATGTATTTCGTTCATCGCTGTGTCGGATCGCACATGTACTGGCAGACAATTATTTTGTTAACTCAGCCGTGCAATACTTAATGCATTTATTATTTTTTACTGACGCGCGCTCAGGTTTGTTTTGCAGGGAGCTTTTCGCTCGCATCCCACACAGACACTGAGAGTATTAAGATTACCTGAGGTTGATTTTACACAATCATTTAATTTTCCTATGTGGATTTATTTATTTATTCATATTTGTAGCTTTGCTTATGAGTCTCTTCATGAGCACATGTGTTATAGTTACCTGGCCTGTGTAGATATGATTAAATACAGGACTAAGGATATATTTTTTTATTTACTCAATCGGCTATTCTAAGTGAGTAGAAGGACACAGAGCTACTTATTAAAACACATTAATTTAATCAATATGTACATAATGTAATTTGAATATATTGAAGCTTTAGCAGTGCTTCAGGCAGACTGAAGCCCACTTTACACCTGGTGTTAATATGTGAAATGAATTTCGGGGCATTATGTGCAGAACGGCTTAGAGAATTGTGTGGACATGCAACCGTGAAGTACAGAATCACTCACCCAGGACATGTGCTCATGGTTGGCTCGCTGATAACGCAGTGTAAATGCTGCTGCATTCCCAGTTCACACACAACAAAGGGAATGCAAATGAAAATAAACTCCACGTAACGAAGCTTCGAAACAGCGCTGTTCTCTGAGAATATTCCTAGTTGACTCCTAGTTGGCTAGGAGTAATTAAAGATAAACATATTCATGGTAGCTGTTCGGGTCATTTGTGGATTTTTAAAAAAAAGACACACCGTGTGCACAAAAATACACACACCTCTTCCCATGCACAAACTGGTATTTGTAAAGGAAGAATGTGTGGACCGTGTTCGTACTCCAGACCGTGACAGACCATCGTGAGGCAAGCCCGACAGAATGGAGAGAAGATGAAAAATGAACCGAGACAGAAGTGAAGAAAAACAGCCAGTTTGGCTGAGCTTGCATTCCCTGTTATCAATATATATATTTCCAGCTCATAAACGCATCATCAATAACTTAGCCTCTGCACACCACCACAGTGGATTTTAAATCAACCAGTCAACCTGTGATTGAAGTGCAGACTTTAAGCTTTAGTTCAAGGGATTTAACAAAAGTGTCCCATTAATATTGTTTAGGAATTACTGCCATTTTAATAGACAATCGCCTATATAGTTGGGTGGTTGACTGACAAGCAGTTTTATGACCAGATGAGACCTGTTTCCTGTTCATTTTATTACAAATTCAGGAGGTAAAAAAAGAAACACGAGCAGCTTTCAGTTCTAGATCTTTTATCTCCCTGAAGATGTTCTGTCAGATCTTCAAAGAGTCACTGTGATGGTGTACAGAAGCAAACAGTGAAACAATGTCCAAATACTTATGAACCTACAGTAACTGTATATGTACCATTTACAAATTTCAACTTGATCAGACCTTTCCATGTTCTGCTTGTTCTTTCTCTTCTTCTTCATCATCTTCCTCTTATTATTGTTATTGTTTTCGGTGTAATAATTGTGGGTGCTAGCTGTATATGATGGCCTGCTTTCCTCCTGTGATCTGATGTACTTGTTGCCTCTTGTTTGCAGTCTCCGTTTTTTTTTTTCTGTCTTATTTTGTTTTTACTTCTGCCAGGATCCTCTGCCCTGAACTTCCAGAGGTGAAAGCTTTTTTTCTCCCATCACTAGTTTCTCTTATGTTCGTGATTCCAGAACTGAGATCACCAAATACACATTTTAATTAGTCCACGACTCATATTAGTGTCTCAGTCTCAGATTTGAGGAAATTGCACTTCTTCTTTGCTGTGTTTTTTTTTAAAATTATTGTCATGTCTAATCACTGCTTGATTTATATGCAAATGAGGAATAAGGGAGGATTTACATCATTCATTATGAAAGCTCTAAGTGGAAATCATGCACATGTGTAAAGTTTCACTTTGATTGAGATTCATAAAAGAGCACCATGCGTAGGCACGGGTTTACAAATATGAGTAGAGGAATACAGATTCACTCGTAAATCTGCATAAACTTTTATGCATCTGGCTCATGTCAGAACTAAAAGCCACCTTCATGTCACAGTTACTACGCTCATCATCTCATCTGGTAAACATGCCTTTGAGAAAATGCTCAGCAAACAATATATGTACATCAAATTGAAAGACAGAGTAGATGCTACAAAGTAAATACAAGCCGTCTATATCTCTAAGTATGTAGTGAGAATCCAAGGCCGCACTTTTGTGTTAAATTAGCGCATTTGTTGTTGCAAAAGTGGTTTTTATTAACAGAGTTGAAAGATACTGTGCCGATGGACTCTTTGGAAATACCGTAACATCCAGCAGTAACAGACACATACCAGTTGACATGTCTTATTGTGATCAGGTTTAGTTTCACCTAATGTATTTTGTGTCTTATAATAGCATCGTCCATCTATTCATCCTCTCTATCCAATTCCTATTCAGATGTACTCTGTATTTGGGGGGCTGAAGCGTGCCACAGCTTGCACAAAGAAACATACCGGACAGGTCAGACTACAACATGGATAAACACATTCACACCTGTGGGCACTTTACAGTTTCCAGTTCACCGGGCCTGCATGTCTGCAGACTGTGGAAGAAAGCTGAGGCACCTAAAGGAAACCCACAGGAATACCGTGAGAGCATTCAAACTCAATACAACAGCTTCCACAGGCAGAGGTTTGCAACCCAGAACCTCAGTGCTGTGAATCAACGCTGCCAGCAACTGAGACATCTTTGCTGTCATCTTTTTATTCTTTATTGCCATCCACTGCAGTTGAATCATCTCGCAAACTACCATTCATTCCTACAGGATCATAAGTTATTTCAGGTCACTCACATGCTGAAGCGCAGCGCTGCATGGGTGTTTGAGTGGCTGCGCATTAACAAGACTTGAAGAATGTTCCCCAATCAAGGAGATTCACGTTTTATCGAGAATGAGAGAACGAGAACGGCATTTGTCCTCGGGGCGAATGTGTAATGGGTGTGTTATAGCAGGTTAGCTAGATCTCAACCTAGACTATGTGAGATAAATAATCCCCATAAAATATTTAATCCTATCAAGTCAGTCTTGTCATGCCTCTTATGTTTTTCTTTCCCTCCCCACCGGAATCTGGCAGATTCATTTAGCGGAGCTTAAAGTTGTCAATGTCCTGGGAAGACATGAAGGCATAATAATGTCCCCTGAAAATGTAAAGTGCACAACGTGTTTGATCAGTTAAACAATAAATTTCATTCTGAAATCATCAGAGGTGATTTGAAAAGGCTGTTAGGATCTTGGCGTAGATTCCCTTGCCTCTATACGCTGTCAACAGTTGAGCAGACTTCAGCATAATCTTTGCATTATGCCTTTTTGTTTACCTCAGGAACTGAATTATTTGCTGACTTGAATAAATGGATCCAGCTTATTGTGTGGTACTCTTTGTTCCTGGGAGTTTATTTCCAGTCTGACCCATTGCGATGATGAAATTATGCAGACGGTGCATCTCTAAAAGGCATGTATCTGTGATTAGATAATCCTTTGGCTGTCTGCATGGAGATTTTTTAAGTCCTGTTCCTCGGGCATTGAAAAATGCGCCCAGAAAATATTAGGCACAATTTTCAGGCTTCTGTGCAGTTCCTTGTGCACTAATGCAGGTGGTATTACATGAAAAGTGGCACTGCACAAGAGCCAGGGAATTGTTGCAAGGGTATATTTTAAAATTTTACTGTGCACTTAAAAATAGTAATATTACAGTTACCATCTGCAAATGAAGTATGTTTTTTATGAAAACCTTTATCAAATATGAACATCTGGCATTTGCAATCGGGGAAACACCTAAAAGAAGACCTATTACCCTTTCCCCTAGTTTTGATACTGTTACAGAGTTGCCACAGAAAAACAAAGTTTTGGATAATGAAGTGTGGTTATGTGTAAGTAAACCATAATCTCAGGTCTCAGACTGCTCAAATGCTCATTTAGAGTTTTCAACCCTTTTGTTTTTAGGGGCACTCAGCTGGAGGAAAGGGAGCTAAAGTGCAGGTTGTTTCAGGTTGAGAATGAACTGAGGGCTCTACCAAGCCCCAGTGCAAGGTAAACAAGGTTTGGACACGTGGAAACATCAAGAGCCTCGGGTATTTGGGCATGCACATCTGCACAAGATCCAAATTAGTGCGACTTTAATGTCACAAGGTCTCCTACTGTTGAGTAGAGTGGCATTTCTTAGTAGCTTTAATTGCATCACTAAAAGGTAAGAAATTAATTCTTGATTGTTGACAAAAAGGTTGAAGGCAGCCAGTCTGTGGCCCTAACTAACAAGGACACACACAAAGGAATCTTTGCGGTTTTTGATTATCCTCCCGACCCCCCGCGGCGTTGATACACAGACTTTCTCCTTGTTGCCATCCAAGCCTCCTCGTATAAACATCACCAAGCTGACTACCTGCCAGAAAGCATTCCCATGGCAACCAGGCATTCCCCCGATTGTGTTTTATTTTCTCTGGCACATACAACACATTTTGGCCAATTAAGGGTCGTGGATGTGTGTCTATGTGCATTTTTTTTGTAGTATTAATGCATGTTTTTCCCCTGCATGTCGCTCAACACAATATACATGACCTCAAAAAAAAATTGCATGTTTTTATTTTTAGATGCAGTGCCACGCAGGAGAGAGTTGTTTAGTAAAAGATTATCCACTCACCCACTCATGTGTGACAGATATATATGTAGGTGCTATGTATGCATGCACTGAGATAATGTGAAGTTACAAAGGGAGCATCACAGACTGTATATAAAAGATGGATGCCACCCACAGGTTAGTGAAGTCCTATTTACAAGTCTCAAGCTAAAAAATTATGGCTGTCACCATCTCGGTATTTGCAAATTAGACACGATGAGTGGAGGTCGATCTGACTGAGAAACTGAGGGACACTGCAGTTGTCAAGCATAAGGGAGGATTGCCTAAAACCTGCCCTGCTTTATCATCCTCTGTGACTATCATGGAGACCAGAATTTATAAAGTTAAATTAATGTTAATACGTGAAAATAGTAGGAACATTACAAGTGCCAAAATGGTAACTGAGGCGGAAAAAGCAAATCAAGCACTCTGTGAACATGTTTAACATATAAACAACAGCTGAATCAGCAACACTTAAACTTAAAACTTAAATATACCATACCAATTATTTATTAAGATCTTTAAAATTTGGTGTCTTTAATGTTTACCAATCAGTCAAGTTTGGAATAATTTGGGATTTTCTCCAATCTTTACAGGGTCAAAACTATTCATACAGGCTCAGATGTATGCATACATGATAACTAAAACTTGTTTAAATATCCCTTAGAAAGTTATATCTCCACCAGATGCTTTTGGCAACCATCAATAGGCTTCTGGCATAATTCTGGCTGGATATTTAAATAAGTCAGTTTCCTGGCACCTACACAGCTTTTAACCCTGGAATGAAAAAGGATTGAGGTCGGAGCTTGAGGAAGGCCATTCCAGAAGCTTAATGTTAACCTACTTTATCCAATCCTAGAGCAGATTTTGTTTGAGATCATTGTCTTGTTGGGACACTCAGTTGTGTCCAAGTTTCAACTGTCCAGTGGTTGATTCAATTTATTTCAGTTGTATTTATATAGTGCCTAATTACAACAGTCGCATCAAAGCGCTTTATACTGTAAGGTTTACAATAATACATAGAAAACCCCAACAATCAAAACCCCAACCCCCCAACACCCCCATAAGCAACCACTTAACAACAGTAGGACAGCCCGTCCTCACTCCCGGGGCGTAGTCACGTCCAGCAGCGTTCCCGAGGAACTTAGGGAGTGAGAACGTGTTGAGTAGGAAGGAAAAACTTCCTTTTAACAGGAAGAAACCTTCAGCAGAACCTGGCTCAAGGAGGGGCAGCCATTTGCCGTGACTGGTTGGGGATAAGGAGAGGAGAAGTGTAGAGACTAGAGTAGTGGTTAGACTACACGCCTTTGGAGCAGAGGATTGCAAGTTCGGTGTCTGTCCAGTAAGGGTCCTAAGGGTAGGCTAGGGTAGGGCTAGAGTAGGCTAGACCCATGCTAAGTGATCAACAAGGTTCGTGTCAGGTGTTGAGGAGGCATCAGGCACCCTGATGAGAAGAGAAATACAAGATTAGGAGAGGACAAAAGACACACCGTGGAAGAGGGCCGGAGATTATTAATAACTCATGCTTGAATGCAAATTGTTGTATAAAGACATGGTGAATGAAGTTTGAGGTGAAGCTGAAGAATTCAGAGAATTTGACCACTGGTTCAGTCTGCTATTCTTCTTGGATTCACTTCAGTGAGTTGTTTTGATTTTCCAATTGTTCTGAACATTGGTCAATGAAATGAGTGCAAATTAGTGATGTGCGACACCACTGATTTGCTTTACGATCCGATACCAAGTATAATTCAGGGTGGCATCGGCGATACTGATCTGATACCGATACTTTGTACAAAACCTTTTTTTTTACTGTATCTTTTATTGTACCTCAAATTATAGCTTCATAATGATTACAGGACGTCAGATTACTTGTTCTTATCACTTAATAATGCAGAATTATCATACAGAAAACTGAAGTTGTGCGCCATTTGAGCATGTTGCCTGCCTGCAGCACTAAAGGACTCCTCGAGAGTCGTTTGTCTCGCCCTAGCAGCACCTGTCCCCCTCCTCGTCTTTAGTTCGCCTCAACATACGCTTGTCATATTCTGTGATATGATTTACTCTGAGGTGTTTGACGAGGTAAATGGTGTCGCCACAACACCTCACTTTCTTGCCACATGTATCACAAACCGCATCTTGGCTGTTTGTGGAGGTAAAATACATCCGCACATGACTCCATTTACGCCCAGCCATTGTTGTGAGTGCGCACGCCAAGGGGCTGCGACACATTTATACAGCCGTATTTCGCACGTGACTATTAAAGGCGGAAGATGAAGTAGCTCCTTCCAATGTAGACAATCCAAATGATATAGTTTCTTTCCACTCTGTTCCTGTTAATGATAAACTACAAATTTACCCAACATTACTAAAATATCGATATTTTAATGTGAGAATCGATTCTAGAACATAAATGACTGGTATCGGAGGAATCGATATTTCAGTATCGATCCACACATCAGTAGTGCAAATGCTTTTTACAGTCACTAAAGATGTATGCTGTAGACATATTCCACCCTGGAAAAAGAACAGTTCAAATTAATCATTAAAAGTTAAACATTTTTCATAATATTCATGTCCATCATCAGTATATTTAACCTTCTGACCACAAATGCATGGTCTGATTGCTCTGAAGGAAACTCTCAGTTATCATGTGGACTCTCCTAGACTGGATTTCATTTGTTTAACCAAGTGATACACTGCATTTTATCATGTTAAGCTCAGCACCAGCAGAGGTCCAATTTCAGCACTCCCATCATCCAAGACACCAATATGTGCTTAGCATAGGTATCAACCATAGCTAATCTAGCTAATGTTAACATCTGTTTGTTTAACTCCTATACTGTGTGCTCAATTACACAGTTTCCTGTTCTGCTTGTCATTAGACTGTGCAGGCATGAAAGAGTGACACAAACGGCATCCACAAATGTCTTTACTTTTATATCAGTCAGTTTCTCATTTCTGCTAAAGTTCTGATTTTACAACATTTAAGTTGTCAGACAAAATTAACGTTCACACCACTTTAAGTCTTGGCTGATGTGTGAATTTTGCAAGATTCACATGTTAAATGCCCACTCAGGGATAAAGGTGAAAGGACATCCTTGCAGCAATGCAGAGGGGGAAAAACAGTGTGTTTTGTACATTAAATAATGCAAACATATGTAGTATTTCCCCCAGATAAATATAAGCCCATTAAAGGCAGTTTTACCAGATGCCAGATGTCCCTGGTGAAATAACTCTAACATTTAATCAAATTGTACAGCTGTTTTATTTATTGTTAATTTAAGTTTTACCTTATAATCCATGTATCACATACAATTTCCACTGATGGTCAACTGCTCACTGTGTTTTATCATGCAGAATTTATGCAGTTATATTTATTGCTGTGCATGCTCATCTACCGAAGGCCCATTCGGTAGATTTCCCCAGGAAAAGACGTTCAGTTTTTACAACCAGCCCTGTGTTGGCTAACAGAAAGAATGCAGGCTTAAGGCACTTCCGCACTGGCTTCACTTTTCAGACCCAAAAGCTACATTCATCTTTTATGCACAATATCTGGGAAGACTGCATGTCTGCGTGCTTTAGGTTTGGAAGAACAAGAAAGAGTATCTTAAAATTGTTTTCTTTGAAAGAGTATTTGCAACGTGTGCATTTTACTATATAGAGCTATAGCAGTGTTTCCATGAAGGCAGTCATTTTGCCAGTGTTTTTTTTTTTTTTTTAACTGAGAATATCATTTTTGAGTGA